TATAAAGGAAGTCAATACTCAATTCGAGATGCCATTTACAGTAAAACCTGTATATATGAACACCTCTGTATCCGTACACCTCTCAATATGAACATTTTTTCAGTCCCAATCTTGTTACCTCCCATTAGCTCCCTTGTAAGAGAAACATTGAAATGTGAACACCTGCGAATCCAAACAAGTTTGGATTAGACAGGTTTTATGATAATTTTTTGGCTGGCCCCAGTAGCGTTTAGATTAGACAGGTTTTACGATAATTACATTTTTACACTAAGCTGCCTTTGTAATATGGAATACTATTCTGTAATTCTCACGAATGGCCCATAAATTTCAATTATTTTCTCATAGCGAGATCAATAGTGCAAAAATAGTTCATTCATGGAACGAAGCGTGAAACTTTCCACATACCATCAGAATACCATTCCCTTTGATTTAAGAGCCAGAGCCATTTTTTTGGTCCACTAGAATGATCAAAAAATAGTAAGTACCCCCTCCCACCAAATCCCATGGGGGTAGGGAGATATAGGAATATTTTTTTCATAAAAAAATTTCTTTGAATATGGTCATACTACAGTTTTAGAGTGCCATTTTCATGGTAAAGAAATTTTGCAAACATAACAAGATGATTTATCATCGATTTTCATCATTGTTAAAGACTAATCATGGGCGATGCCCACTTTACATACCTTGAACATTTAGGTTATTAAATCTCTATCATGGGTTGGACAAATGAATGTAATTTAGTTTTCTGGATGACACCAGATACCTTTTGATGTTAGGTGCTATAATTATAATTAATCTTTGCATTTGACTTCTTAAAGGCTTACATCATATCACAACCCTGTTTAGAAGAAGAAAGCAAGCAACAAATGTCCCAGATCTACAACATGTATCCACTATTCTATGTACATGTATGAGTCTCTATACTCTCCTGAAGAGAACCTATGCTACAGACACAACTGTCCAGAATTTAGATGATGATGTGCTTAAACAGTTTGATGAATGGTGTGCTGACCAAGTGCCTAAACAGTTTGATGAATGCCGTGCTGACCAACAGAATGTACCAGTCTTCAAGCTTTGGTTTCTGCTTATTCAAATTGAAATACTGTGCCTTGACTATGTGAGGGCTATAGGACAGGAGAATTTTCCTCTTTATTTCCAGATGGTTTCTCTTTGATTTTCAAAGTTGTTAAAGACTAGTCATGGGCGACGCCCACTTTTCATATGCTGAACATTTAGGCTATTAAACCTCTTTCATGGGTTGAACCAGAACCAGAAGGGCCGCCACAGTCACAGCCTGTAGTCTCTAAATTCTCAAGAAAGCCTATACTACATATACAGCTGTCTAGAATCTAGATAATGAAGTGATAAACAGTTTGATGAAAGGTGTGCTGACCAACAGAATGTACCACTCTTTAAGTTTTGGTTTCAGATTATTTGAATCCAAATACTGTGCCTTAACTAAGTGTAGGCTATTAGAGAGGGAAATTTCCCTCTATATCTCCAGTCAATTAGCAAGCTTGTCACCTGGTTTTTCGTTTTTTGACTTTGTCAATATGCTTGCTGAGTACCAGTTCAGTATATCATCAGAACTCAAAGTTCAAAAATGGATACCTTTTGGAAAAAAAAATTAGAAATATCTCACTTCCAATGAAATTGCAGCTGCCCTTTGACATGATAGGACTATGTTCTCCCCTTATTTCATGCTCCCACAGGTTCAGACACTACACCAGCAAAGGCTGGGAAAATGATTTGGGTGCCAGTGTAGAAAACATTGCCCCAAGCTTCAGATGCCAAATGCTAGTAAAATGCAGGATTGTAATGGACATGACACCTAGCTCAGTGATAATGATAATAGAGTGTTGAAGTGCTTAAATGCACAAAATAGGATATTTGAACTGCAGTTAAGATACCTAATAAGGTAACTTGTATCAATTAGTCAAAGTGCTCTCATTAAAAGCCAAAATAATGTATCATTAATTATGAATTATATATTATTATATCTTTATATCTAAAAGGGATGTGGCCTTTCAATTGACTTACTTAAAGAATTTATCATCTTAACATAGATAACTGACTTAATCTTATCAATTTATTCAGCCTTATTAGGTAATTTTCCTATTCACAATAGAAGACTCATTAACTTGTATATTAACATGTTGATAAAGTGGGCGTCGCCCTTGGTCAGGCTTTAACAATGAATATCCATGAGAAATACGGATGCAATCTTGAAAATTGTTTTTATACAGTGAAAATAACATACTAAAAATGAATATAGATCATATTAAAAAAAAATCAACAAAAAATACTTCCCTCCCCTCCCCCAAGGATTTGATTGGAGGGGGCATTTGCAATTTTTCAGATTTCATCAGGACACCATTCCCTTTGATTTAAGAGCCAGAGCCATTTTTGTGGTTTACTAGAATGACAAAAAAGCACTTGCATCTTTTTGTTGAGCACTTTTGTTTGCAGCTGCATTTTACTAGCATTTGGCATGCATCTGGGGCTTGGGCAATGTTTTCCACACTGGCACCCAAATTATTTTCCCAGCCTTTGTGGTTATGGATTCCCAACTCAATTGTGAGGGTGAAGCGAGGACTGACATAGGTATAATTGTCTGGAACCAACTTATGCAACTTATGGTGGGATGTTCTCAATTTGAGTTGTTTTCTTTGTGAACATTTCTTGTCTTGCAGCATTTACAGTTATTTCATTGTTGTCTCTATTGTATAAAATCTCAACAAAATGTTCAATGATTGGAATCCAGATATAGTGTCTGAACCTGTTGGGGCATGAAATAAGGGGAGACACATAGTCCTACCATGTCAAAGGGCAGCTGCAATTTCATGGGAAGTGAGATATCTCTAATTTTTTACTTTTCCAAAAGCTATCCATTTTTGAACTTTGAGTTCTGATGATATACTGAACTGGTACTCAGCAAACATATTGACAAGGTCAAAAAACAAAAAACCAGGAGATAAGATTGCTCATTGACTGCAGATAAAGAGGGAAATTTCCCTCTCTGATAGCCCACACAGTATTTCAATTCAAATAATCGGAAACCAAAACTTAAAGACTGGTACATTCTGTTGGTCAGCACACCATTTATCAAACTGTTTATCACTTCATTATCTAGATTCTGGACGGCTCTCTTGAGAATTTAGAGACTGCAGGCTGTGACTGTGGCGGCCCTTCTGGTTCCGGTTTAAACTTGAAAGAGGTTTAATAGCCTAAATGTTCACTGGTACTGGTACATTCTGTTGGTCAGCACACCATTCATCAAACTGTTTAGGCACCGGTCAGCACACCATTCATCAAACTGTTTAAGCACATCATCATCTAAATTCTGGAAAGTTGTATCTGTAGCATATGTTCTCTTCAGGAGAAAATAGAGACTCGACATACATGTACATAGAATAGTGGATACATGTAGATCTGGGACGTTTGTTGCTTGCTTTCTTCTTCTAAACAGGGTTGTGATATGGTGTAATCCTTTAAAAAGTCACGATTAATTATAGCACCTAACATCAAAAAGGTATCTGGTGTTATCCAGAAAACTGAATTACATTCATTTGTTCAACCCATGATAGAGATTTAATAACCTAAATGTTCAAGGTACAAAAAGTGGGCGTCGCCCATGATAAGTCTTTAACAATGATGGAAATCAATGATAAATCATCTTGTTATGTTTGCAAAATTTCTTTACCATGAAAATAGCACACTAAAACTGTAGTATGACCATATTCAAAGAAATTTTTTTTATGAAAAAAATATTCCTATATCTCCCCACCCCCATGGGATTTGGTGGGAGGGGGTTCTTACTATTTTTTGACCATTCTAGTGGACCACAAAAATGGCTCTGGCTCTTAATTCAAAGGGAATGGTATTCTGATGATATGTGGAAAGTTTCATGCTTCGTTCCATGAATGAACTGTTTGCCTGTTTTCTTGCACTATTGATCTCGCTATCAGTAAGGCCTATGTTTCAATATAACAGAGTACACGTGACTGTCATCATGATAATCTACTATTCTATCCATAAGCGATAACAGATATCTATGATATATATAAGTAACAAAGTAGGAGGTAAAAATCAAAATGTAACAAACACAGTGGAGTTTCTGTTACACTGTTACTATGACTACAGTATCCATAGCATTCATAACACTCACAAAGATGATTGAAAGATCTGTAATAAGAGAGATGTGATTGGACCAGTTCTGATACTCAACCATTTCCCATCATTCAACATCTAAGAAACTACATTTGCTTATCGATGAGTGCATGGTTGCCTATGGTAAGGAAGGTGTGCTTGACCAGCTCAAGTACACAACCTCCCACTACTCATGCTACTCTAACCAAAATGTTTATGAACCAAATGAAGCTATTTTGTATTTCATCTCATATGATAAGAGGGGGAATAACCCAGGGGAACCAATCAGGTACATCTTTACATGAAGATACGTTCATCTTTGAATTCTGGGTAATTCCTCCCTCTTACCCATGATACTAATGTTACTATACACTGTGCGTATGGTTGAACAAGAGGTCCAAGTTAAGAGAGGTATGATATGACCAGTTCTAGTCTAACGTGTGCCCTAATCCTCCCTGTTTGAAAATGACACCAATAGGTGGGCTCACATGGTGGTTCCTTATACTCAATTGTTCAAATATGACAAGTTGCGAAATACATCATTGATGTGTATTACTTATATAATACAAGTCTATAGGTCATATATAGATCAATAGAATTAGACACTTAAAATCCCACAAAAAATGGATATGAGCGTAAGCTAAGGCAGTTTTCATTTGTTCGAAAATTGTTCGATTAATAGATAAGTTTATCGTATGATCTGTAAAATGAAGCCTTCTGATTGGTCAGTTCTTGTGCTGTACCAATCTGTATTGCTACTGAGATTGTCACCATTGATCATCTCTGTCGCAATACAGAAAATATTGGTACAAAGGGGACATTCTCATTAGCAATACAGAGGATCACACGATAAAAACTTTATAGTATAGGCCCACCATGTGAGCCAAAATTGACCATTTACAACTGTACTCTGCATTAATGTCATATTCTCATCTCTGGTAGTGTTCGATCCATGGAGTTTATTAACAATTAAAGGCCACATAAGAGAGGTATGCAAGAACCATGTCTAGTCGAACCCCTGCCAGTCACTTCCTTGTTCCGAATCATCGTCGACGTTTATCCCTGTACAGTGGATCCCAGTCTTCAAAGATGGCGTCCCTTTACCCTTGCCTGAAAACAGAACAATATATTGAATTAATAAAACATATTTCTAGACTGTGAATCTTCTATCAGGTCTTTATTTTATTACCTCCCACGGCCATTATCTATTTCCCACGTAAAGAGAATTGGTTGATCACAAACAAAGTTATTGATGCAGAACTAAAACGGGCTTGACAAACCTCATAGAAAACATGTACGTTATGGTTCCACATTATATAAGGGTTATCCAAGATGTGTATTGACATAAATGAGTTATACTCAAATAAATAACGAGGTTTCATTATTTGGACACTTTTATGAGATTTTTCGTGAAATATTAACCTGATATAAAAGCATCCCCGAGTGCAAGCCATTGACTTCGAGTTCAGAACTAAACACCCTAAGCCACAATCTTAGTAATGGATCCATAAAAACTCAATACTTCATCCTAGATCTTAGATTATTGCAATCTTTACTGAGAGCTAATCGTCATGGAATAGGATATCATTTTTTAAACGCCACTCTCTGCACTTCTGTATACATAATAGCTACATATCAGAGCTCTTTCAAGCATTTTATATAAAAATAGAAATAGAATTAGATCAAAGGAAAATAAGAGATATTTTTCCATAATAACATGTTTCCCTGGAAAATAAACAGGGAATAGAATTGATATTCAAAAAATCCCATATCAGATCCCGTGCCAGTCAAAATCCCTTATCAGATTCCATAACGTAACTATTCCTCCTCTCGATTTTTTTAAATTTTTCGTTCAGCACTTGTCTACCGAAAGTTATCGTCCTCGGTCAAGAAGACATTTTCCTTGGCCAATATCATATTTTCCCTCGGAATAAAGTTCATATTCATCCATACCATTTAATGACCTCTATGTTTTATAGCATACAGCATTTATTTTGATGAACTGGAACATTTCTAAACCTTGAATATCTTATACGAGGTAATTAGTAAAGTTCAGTATTTTTTATTGGAAATTTTCTCTAAATGGATACATAGGAGATATAAATATGATTGTTCTAGTTAACATAGAAATAGATACCATTTTAGAACCAATCAGCACTTAAGATTTTAAGCCATGGATCAACATTAAATGTCAAAATAAATATCAATTTTATCATCAAATCAACATCTTAGAGTCTGAAATTACATCTCTAAATAAAACATATCAATGTGCAAAGATTGCCCTTCAAACTGACAATATCTCTCTTAAGATTTTATATTTAATTTTTTTGATATATTAATATAAGTCAAGAGCACATTGGCTGTTGCACATAAGTGTTTCTAACATATCTTTTCACCATACTTCTCTGATTCTAGCTAGCATGGGCGTAGCGCTATTTTTCTAAGAAGTACGCCACCACCACAGGAACAAGAGTTGAGTGAATCAAAAAACGAGCATTCAGGGGTGTCTGGGGGTTCTCCCCCAGGAAAATTTTGAAATCTGGTTGTATTTGGAGCGAATTTGCAACCATCTGGTACGCCTGTGCGTACCCAGCGTACTGGGCGCTACGCCCATGGCTAGTACTAAAGATGCTAGGGTAGTATCCCCCGATTTAAACCTGGAGTTCAATTACCAAGGTGTGTGTATTACCAGCGACAAAGAATTATCTCAAATCGAAGTAATCATTCATTCATTTACGAACATTGATTTCCAATTTGGCCATGTTTTCTTGTGACTGTGTTATACTATAAAATTACAAAGACAAAGATTGGTTCCAATGATTCTGGCAGAAAGTTCAAAGCTAATCGTTTTCTTCGGATTACATTAACTTTTCAGCATGAATATAGGGTTGGGACCTCAAAACTACGGAATGCCGGAGCGACACCCTTAGGCAACTCTAGATACAAACCATTTCTCATACCCCCCTTATAAAATCTACAGGGGGTACTATAAGACACCTTTATATCTCAGACACTAATAAGGATATAGAAATTTTCAGGAATTAATTTTAGTATGATGCTTAATCTATATGGCAAAAATCAAGAACAAATCTTAATCCGTTGCTATAGCAACAGTAATAGAACATTATTTTGTGGACTTTCATCATTTTACAGTTATACAGTTAACAGTTGAATAACTATGACCATGTTGGTATGCCAAATATTGCTAGATGGCGATCATCCCTGTGAGAATATCTATGATGAACCATCTTATCTCTTTCCTTCACAAGACTTGGTTACGAGACAGAGATGTGATGAACATCAGAATGAAGCAACTCTGATACTATGAAACCCTCTTTTAAGAGTACCCTGAGGGCTGAAGTAAAATACAAGATGAACCCTTCTCTTAGATATATTAGGTAAAACTCTCAAAAAATGGCAAATTGCAAAATGAATAAACAAATAAATAATTAGTTGCAAATTCACATCTCAACCTAGTATACATTTATGTGAGGCACAATAATAGAATTTTTACATTTGCAATTCTAACCATCCAAGTTGTACTCTTATGACATCTCACCTCAAATTTTCTATTTTTTTTTTATTGAAGAAGGAAAATGGTAGGTACGGATAAAGCACAAAACACTTACTAATGTTAAGAGTTTATGACGATTTTATCAGCATGGAAACTGTATAATAACCTGACTTCCTCAGAGGATCAGAATGTAACAGTTTCCCTCCAGGTATCAGGGTACCCAGGAGATTATCATGTCAGAAACTTTCAAGCTGAGATGTAGAAAATGTTTTAAATCCTGCTGTCAGTTTAAATCCTACATGCACCTGTACAGGTATTTTTAGTCAAGCACCGATCATATGCTCCCCTCCCTCTAATATTACCTATAGAGAAAACATGCGGGTAGACAATGGGGGGATTTTTAATATCCGTGTTATTTCAAAAACAATCTATACAAAGACAATGCATATTTACTACCACTCTTAAACAGTATCCTGTTCCAGTTCTATTATTTTGCCATTGAAGGAATTTAATACAAGCAACGTGGATTTTCTAAAAAAACTAGGATTTCCTGCCAATATTTTCGTACATTTAAAAGAGACATTCATAAAAAAAATACCCTCAGGATTTCTTTATTGACTAAATTAGCTTAATCGTTGATGACATCTACAAAGTCTACTCAAAGCCTATTCCATTTTAGACAGAATGGAATGGCAGTCGTATGTTGACGATGTCAGCGTACATGGAGTCAGTTTTCAGATACATTGACAACTCGTAAGTGTTGATTATGTTACCCAACTAATTGGTAAGATTTGAGGCGACAGTACCTCCCAATAGATTTCCTCAAGTTTCTAATCAACTAAATATCTAAATTCAATTTATTTAGAAGCAAAACCAGATCATTCATTTCATTAAGACGATTATGTTACTTCGTTCAAGGTTCATTTAACTATCTATGTCTCTAAGCTATACTCATATACTCTATTTTCATTTTATATAATTTAACAATATTTATTCGCCGCTCATCAGATAGTAATTTAGATATCAAGATGTAGAACCTGTTACGGGAAAATCGCAAGCGTTCAATTTCATTGTTTGATCCTATGTCCGAAATTGACACACGAAAAAATGATGATAATTTGCAATCAACAATTCAAAATAATTTGAACAGAAGTATGTTTCTAATGGGAGATATATACGTAGAAGCACTTGCCCCTCTCTCTCTGTATTTTCAAAATTATAAGTAATTTTACACATGATAGATGGACAGATGTCTAAACTTTCAAAGATTCTTCGTTTCATATAAATCTGAGATTGGATACTTTTATTATACCGATAAGGCAAATTAGGAAGCATTGCTTTCTGCTTCGGTTATTTTAATACTTTGCATAACCCAGGAGAATATAAATCACGCAAATATTCTTACAATTAATTCCTTTTTATGCACTCAAATCTTAGTTCGCCTCTCATTGATTTAACAATTAGACGATTACTCCAACTCAGCAATGAGATCCACCGTTTGTTGTCATGGCAATGCTTTTATCCTCTGTAAAACGACTACGAAATCTCAAGACCTTTTCTAAGAGTTTAAGTCCTTGACTTGCTCTGCTTTAGTAATACCTTTCAAAAGAGAATGTCGATAGAACCAACTAATTACTCAGCATTTTGGGCATTCAAGTTAAAAAGTTCATCGAGTTCTGGGGCACAGTTAAATTTTGAGAAAGGAGAGGTAAATGAATATTTATTTCGTTAGTGAAGAAATATATAAACATTCGAGTAAAAGGCAATTCAACATTTTCAAATTTTGTTATAGACAAAGGAGAGATAACACCATAATGAAATGAACCATTGGAAATTGAATACCATCTCTTGGGCAGTACTTGAACATAGATATTAATCTTAAAATAAACAGAGAAAAAATGGTTTTAATTGAGCCCTCAAGTATTGAGAATGCCAGTTTAATCAATTAGATTATGATGAATTACATCAAGGATTATCACCTGTATGGTCAAATGTATTGTTTGAGTTACTATTTCAAGTTTCAACACTTGTTCAAGGGACAACACTTATGAAAAAAATAGCTAAAAATAGCTAGTTACTTTGAAGGAATGTATATGGAAAAGAACTAGAAAACAGCAACTCCCGGTGTAACAAAACCCACCAAACAAAACATAGTTTCTCAAATCCCTCGTCATTTCGGACATTTCATGAATGAAATAACCGTTAATCAGTATTTCAGCTAGTTATGGCCTGGACACAGAAACCAGCTTTTCTATCCCTATCAGACTTCCCTCAACTTTACTAACCAAGCACTCATGATACTCTCTCTGAAGAATTCAATTATAGCTTTAACCCTGATAGGTCTTACTATGTATTTCCAATCTGTGTAATGTAAATCATGGAAAACATGCAATTTAGTATCACAATATCACCTGCCACAGTCTTGTATCCACTAATTATTCCATAAAAAGCATTCAACCTGACAATCAAAGCCCATTAGTGCCAATTACTTGTTTCAGACCTCATTATTACTTATCTACTAAGTAAAGTGATGATAATTAATAGATCAATGGGAATCTATAATAATTATAGTTTTTTGACAGGAATATCTTAAAATAATTATTATCTATAGGAATATCTTAAAATGTTGCTTGTGCATTTGTCACCATCTATACCTGTTTCTAGGATTGAAACAGAATGTTCATGATATCTACTTAAACATTCATGATATCTATTTAAACATTCATGATACTGTATCCACTCTCATGCATGATATTCACTCAAACATTCATGATATTCACTCAAACATTCATGATATCCACTCATTCATTTATGATCTATTTGTTCATGATATTTACTCAAACATTCATAATACCCAATCAAACACTCATGATATTCGGTCAAATATTCCTGATACCCACTCAAGCATTCATGATATCTACTCAAACATCCATTATCTTCACTCATGGAATTGCACAAACACCAATATCAGGTGCTTAATTCTTTAAACTGAAAACTCATGAAGGCATCTGACTAGATTGATATGTTTCATCGATTATCGGATAAGTTCTCTATATTTATAAACGCATTAGTTGGAATATCATGCTTTGTTTTCTGTTTTGCCTTCTAAATCTATTATTCTTGCCTTATTCATAAAAGTGATAGATAGAATATATGGAATAAATGGAATAATATGAAACGTTGGAGCAAGCCGGATTTCATCTGGGTAATATCAATGCTCCTATATTCTGCAGACAATGTATTTTTAGCATACTAATTGAGAAGTGAAATTTATCATTCTTTGATTGATAGTTTGTTCTGATGAATGTATTTTTTAACATAACTGTACTTATTATTCAGCTCTGTAAGCAACTCCCCCGAGTAGTAAATCCCACCGAACAAAACATATTCAATCAAATCAATCTTCATTTTGATAATAACACGATAGAAATAATAGAAAAACTGAACTGAGTCTGTTAACTGGTATTTCAGTTATTGGATATTAAAAAGTTTATGAAAAATTGAGTGGCAATCTTGAAATTTCCTTAAGAAATAGCTGAGGAAGTAATGCAGTATTATATTCTAAGTTTGGAAAAGAAGAATATTACAAACCTGAATCCAAATGAAAAAATGAATAATAAAAAGAGGGTCTCTTTTTGTAGAAATACTATAAAGCCATTTGCATAAACTGACTGATTGGGGAATGAACCATAGCTCTTGGTATTTAAGAGGGTTCATTTATGGTTGTATTGAGAGGTTTGGATTATGTGCAAATGTTTCTTGGGTTCTCATGACAATACTGTTCAATAAGTATGCATATGGTAACCAGATTCTCATCATAAAATCTTTGCATCTCATCAGAGGGAGGGGGGGGGGGTGTATAGGGTGCCTGCAACCACAACCCCTTTTGAGCCAATCCCCAGGGATTTCATTCATGGTGTTGGGGAAAACCAGATGACTTGGAGAAAAGAACGATGTGATCTGGTGAAATAAATAAATCTAGACTTAAAGGCTTTTTGTAGATGCAGACGCACTCCCCTTGGAAAAGTCCTGGAGATGCCTCTGCACATACCATGTAAGTAAAATAAAATAAAAAGATGAAGTCTCCACTCACCTAGTACCCTGGCATGTAATGTTATTGTTAGTGATGCAGTTTTATCTGTGTTTGTAATTATCAGTTCTTCCTTCCACAGTTTTTCTTTGTGAGCATGTAAGTCAAGCACAACCTCGTGACCTTCCCCTGAAAGTAAGTCAAGGTCATAAATCAAAGTCAAGCACAACCTCATGACCTTCCCCTGAAAGTAAGTCAAGGTCATAAATGTAAGTGAAGCACATCTTCATGACCTTCGCCTGAAAGTAAGTCAAGGTCATAAGTGTAAGTCAAGCACAACCTCATGACCTTCCCCTGAAAGTAAGTCAAGGTCATAAATGTAAGTCAAGCACATCTTCATGACCTTCCCCTGAAAGTAAGTCAAGGTCATAAATGTAAGTCAAGCACAGCTTCATGACCTTCCCCTGAAAGTAAGTCAAGGTCATAGATGTAAGTCACATACAACCTCATGGCCTTCTCTTGAAAGTAAGTCAAGGTCATAAATGTAAGTCAAGCACAACCTCATGGCCTTCCTCTGAAAGTAAGTCAAGGTCATAAATGTAAGTGAAGCACAACCCCATGACCTTCCCCTGAAAGTAAGTCAAGGTCATGAATGTAAGTCAAGCACAACCTCATGACCTTCCCCAGAAAGTAAGTCAAGGTCATAAATGTAAGTCAAGCACAACCTCATGACCTTCCCCTGAAAGTAAGTCAAGGTCATAAATGTCAGTTAAGCACAACCTCATGACCTTTCCCTGAAAGTAAGTCAAGGTGATAAATGTAAGTGAAATATAACCTCATGACCTGCCCATGAAAGCAGGTCAAGGATATAAATGTAAGTGAAGCATACACTTATAACCTTCCACAGAAAAAGAAATAAAGGTCAAGCTCAACCTTGCGTCCTCCTGAAAATAAGTCAAGGTTATAAATCTAAGTCAGCCACAATCTTAAAGTCATAAATTTAAGTCAAGCGTAACCTCATGATTTTCCTCTGAGAATGAAATATAGGTCAAGTTCAACCTTAATGTCCTCCTGAAAATAAGTCAAGGTCATAAATGTAAATAAGGAAGGCTTACCATGAAAGTAGGTCAAGGTCATTTATGCAAGCACTCTCAAAATCTAATAGGAACATACAATATCGAAGTGCATAGTGTACCTCTCTTGCTATGCTAACTCAGTCAATCAGCATAGTGCTTTATAGAAAATGAAGGGCTGACATATAAATAATGTTATCTCTACAAAAGTCTGGAAAGTATGATTTGATTTGGAGAATAAATCTGACATTGAGCACCATTTATTAGAACAATTTATCAACTGAATATTTACAAGATTGGAAATGATCCGGAACTTTTGAATTTATTTTCTAATCATAGCAAAAGACATCAAAAGAATTTTGAAGGGGGTAATTAATTAACAGTCAGGCTAACATAGTAATATATTTATCTTCATACATTATGACATAAAAAGTCATTATTTCAAAAACTGATGGAATTCCAAGGCAACGATTTTATTAACCGGATGTAAAAAATTGATTAGCAATGTCGAAGTGTCTGAAAGAGCAGGTGCATTAAAGATAAATAACGGTGTTTGTCATGATAATGAACAGTCTTTAAATACTATTTCCTCTCACCTTCTTTAATCAACTGTAACTGAAAATTGAAGCAACTTAGTATTAAGATAAAAAATTAGCATACAGCAGGGGTTTCAAAGCCAGCAGGCAACTGGCAATTATCACCAGTTGTTTTCACAAAATCGCCTGTTGTTTTAGGGACTTTTCAACTTTTCCATGTTAAATTTAGGATTTCCATTAATTTTGCCTGTTGTTTTCATTCATTTAGCCTGTTGTGAGAAATTCAAGTGAAACCCCTGATACAGCATTAAATACTATCATATTTCAAGGATATTTTTGGGTAAAAGGTACACCCCCTCCATAAGTTTGGCAGCAAAAAATCTCATTCTATTAACATATGTAAGCCTGTCTAGGTTTGGTGTTTTAAAAAATCATCAAATTTGCCAGATTTATTTCAACTTTATTGTATAAAAGGAACAGAAAAATATTCAAACATTAACATGCTTTAACATCCTCTCAAATGAAGCCTCCCAGTACCTAAACTTGGATAGAGGGAAAAGTACTATTATATTCAAATGATTGTTTAAATCATGCTTGGTACACTAATCTTATAAAATCATTATTTCTGGTATTATCAGATGTAGAACAGGGTATGATGGCTTAGCAAGGGCTATATATCAGTAACCAATATCACCTAATAAATAATTTCAAGTTACAGACACAATAACATGATAACATTTGTGAATTACGATTCTATCTTATAGTACAACAGCATAACAATATACTTTTGACATCTAAACTGATATATTATATCACAAGTCTTGGGGCTTCCTTTGATTGAGATAGAAAACATGTAATTGTAGAAGTATTCTACAAGGCATTTACATGCAAAATGTCACCACCTGCCATTTGTTACAGATGCTGACCAGCAAACGCTTCACACCAACTGCCAAACACCAACAGCCAAACACCAAACTGGAGACTATAACAATATGTCAATTCTTGTAGTGGTGACATGAAAACAATTCTTAAATTACTCTACGGGAGTCCACAGTTAGCATGCTACAAAGTAGATGTGTGATTGGTGCTAAATGTGTTCAATGGTAAATGCATTCAATGAAGTAAAGTGAGGAATCAATTGAACTAGGACTGCCACAGGGCCTCAATTCAGCTATCAAATGAGCAATAATACATCAATGAATGCACAGAACCCCATGGCATGTTTTATTCTATTACTGTACTTCTACTTAATTTGGGAGCCATTTTTATTTGGCAGATCCGCTAAATTGTTAAAGTCAACCAAATTAAGTAGCCGCCAAATTCCTCTGTAATTTTAGTAGCATGTAAATTAGTACCACTAGTGCATTGTAATATTGCAAGTCCACCAAATTCATTAGCCGCCAAATGTTCAAAATGGCAAATCTGCCAAATGTTCAAAACAGCAAATCCGCCAAAATAAGTTGAAGTACAGTAACTGTATCAACCAATAACCCAACAATTTAAACAGCTTTATCAATACTTCACGATAAATAAAGAATGAACCTGAAAGAAAATCTAATTATATGGTAGAAGAGCAATGCAAAGAAACAAAATAAAGCAAACAAACTCAATCAATGCACCATAATCAAATGCCAATCAATATATCACAATCAATTTGAATATCTTTGGGTCAGCTTGACAGAGAAGTACCAAAATACATGTATAGCAAATTCAAAGAATAGAAGCCTAAGGTAGCATTCGCGAATGCAACTGCCAGCTGCCGGTTTGATTGCGATTTAGTAACCAACTCATTTACCTGGCGTGCCTCCCAGTCGCTGCAATACAGTTTAATCTCCCCATTTATGCAGCAACTAAAACTGACTACAAATGTGTTCGGTATTTTAACTTAAAAAACAGTTTTAATGTATGCATATTAATATATTAATCCGGCAGTTTCATTCGCAAATGGTAGCTAAGTTGAATAATTTTAAGATCGCAATCAATTATAAAGTCGGTAAATTTTAAATTGTATTTAATTTGTTAATTTGCCCCTCCCATTTCCAAGATACAGTCCTTTACTCACCATCTTCAGATGGAGGAATCTCTAATATCTTAACATGTAGATTCTGTAGGGGATCCTGTAATACATCTTCTCCGAGGGTATCCTTTATAGTAAACCTGATCTCATACTGATGGTGGATCTCTAAGAAGCCTAAATGCACAGATACATGTTCTTCACTGTCTTTTTTCACTATAATCTCTGAATCATGTTCGATTACTTGATCTGTCGGGAAATGCACTCTTCCGTCGTGTCCATCCATTTCTGAATCTGAAGTGAAATAATACAGTTTTAATGTAATTAATGCGAATAACTGACGCTAAAACTTATTTTCATATAAAGGCCTACATGCATTAGATTTATTATCTATATCATTTAGTTATCTAATTCATTTATCTTTATATGTTTTTACGATTTACATGTACATGTATATGATATACTTTATATCAGTATTCTGATACGATTATACATACTGCAGGTAATGCATGTATATCTGAATACAAAGTATGAGGCGTCCTCTAAAAAATAATGAACCTGTATGTATATAAACCTGACTGTCGTAAATATCCTCAAAATAAGTTCAAGGCTTATGCTACTTTCATCTATTTATATTTGGAAGCATATCAGTAATTCTAGATTCTTGGCTAATTCTCAGCTGCCCTGACAAACAATAGCTGTTCCTTTAATATATTTAGCACACACTTTAAACCATAAAGTCAATCTTCGGCCAAGAATAAAATAGCCTCGTTTGTGATTGCCAAGATTATAATAAATATTTCAAGAAAATTGTTTTCGTTAAGGCAGTTCCGTGCTCCGCAGAAATTTGAATGGTTTCGTAATTGGAAGCCCCTGTTATTTTCAGGTAAATGAGACTGCAGTAGGAGCTGAGCCAACAATGGCCAAGAATGTAACAGTAACTATGTACCAATAAAATGAATATGAGCATTAGTTCATTAGTTCAGATAAAGTTCAGTTTTTATTTGTCCAAAAATAGTTGAAGGATGGACAGAAGGATTGACAGATGGATGGACAATTCATGGACGGACAGACGGACAGACAGACGGACAGACGGACGGACGGATGGACGGACAGATTGATGGATGGAAAGACAGACAAGCATTTGATTCCATAGGCTCACCATGTGATCCAAAAAAAGGCTCGTTCAAAATTTCAATCCCTAGATGACTAGATAATCCCATGGCAACAAATGCAACAAATGTATCATACTGAGTCCACATTAATGGATTTAACAGACAATCTCTGTTGCTTACAAAACAGATTCCAATAGATAAGCCGAGATAAAAAGATGTCCAATGTTGAATAAACATTTCATAGTACACACAAATATTTACTAACTTGCAAGCTATTTTTAAAGTTAAGTCAACATAAACACAACATTGTATTGGCAACTTATAACAACTTATAAATATTAATTCATTAGTGAACATTTCCTCTCGGCAATCTATATTGTCAGGAAGTAAACTGTTATTCAACCGTGAAAGTTCTCAATCCAAATCAATCTAATATTGTGTTAATCATGTATGCAACCTTGGTAGAGGATAGTTATGTAAATACACTTATTTTATATTTATTATCCATGGCATATCAAGATTCTTTTTTCAAATGGATAACCTTGACCAAGAATGGTAATATAATGAAAAAAGTTTTGCCTATTCTTGATATCTCCTCGTCAGACCTCAAAACCGTTTTGATGCTCATCAATCTAACAACTGATGATATATGAGATCAATCACTGGTGGATCTGGGGGGGGGGGGCTGGGACCCCTTTTCTTGAATTTTTAGGTGAAGGAAAAGAGTAAAAATAGAAAAATAGATTTATGTACTATTTATTGAAATGTCTGCAGTTTTGAGAGAAATTATCACATATCTCTATCAAATCTTGTTGGATAAGACTCAAACTTTCAGGAATTCTTGATACATCACTTATTGATATATTTACAATGTTTCATCATAATTGCTACATCCTGAAATGAGATATTGCATAGTTTTTAACATACGTCCAAACTCTGAATCGGAAATGATAAAATTTGCTGACTCAGCTGACTTTTGAGCATGGTTCGCAACCTCTATAAGGAAGGATCCAAAGTCAATTTGTATCTTGGTAGTTTGCTAACAACGGGGGTTCGCCTTAGACCACCTTTGATTAGGTAATTGAAGTACAGACCTTAATACAGACCCGTCTTCATCAGAAAAAGCATTGTAGATGGATTTGGAAATAATGATTATTTCAATAAAACTGAATAACACAGGAGACCCTTCGTTAAATTAGTTTTGCAAAAAAGACAATTGATATTAGTGAACTGACCCCTTAGGAATACTATCATTCTGACAGTTTAGAAAATTGACTGCTTTATAGGGCACTGGGTAGTCTGGAAAGGTCTTATCTTGTTGAAGCTTGAACAAAACCACTCTGGAAGGAGTTGTCTTTAATTGTTGTCAGTATTTCATAAATATCCATCTTGATCCTCAGGGTTAAAATTATTTACTTTCAGACCAAGTAGAAAGTATGGCTCTATAGGTTCAAATTTTCTGTTCAATTTAATTTTCAGTTTTTGCCTTCTTGGTTGGCTTTGTTTTTGATTTGAGGTTTTGCATCGATCTTTACATATTTGCATCTATATACTTGAAACTCAGAAGTGAGAACATTTGCACCTACTCAAAAGCAAAATATCCTGGGTTACCTTTAAGGTATATCAGTCTTAGTTTGTTTAGCGTGACATTGGTCTCTTCCCAGTGAACAAGTATACTAACTACCTACAGATCGGTAATTAATTAAACTGAAGCATAGCATATTCGAATTACTTAAATAATTTAACGATAATTTGCGAAATTTTTTACTTTCTACTTGGTACTTCAATCAATATATCAATACATACACAGACATACTTCTATCGTATATTAGATTAATTTCAATTTATTTTTCCCTGTTGGAAAATTGATATGCTATTAAAAATGTTTTACTTCTGATTCATCACCATGGTAACAGGGATAAAATAGAGCCGAAGTGGCTGTAATAGGTATGCCTCTTGAAATATCACGAGTGGGAAATTTAGGAGATGAATAGCCCTTCAATTTGAAGCGATAAAAAATTGACAGAAGATCAATGCCCAATTATTTTCTAGCATTATGATCAAGGTGATTTTTACTCTACCAAGCTTTTGCGTATAATATTTCTAAAATGCACAATACTAAATTCTTCAAGTATTATTTAATCGGTATTTTCAGGTATTTTAGTTTAGCATTCTGTCTAAAGCAAATGATGAGTCTGTAAAATGAGACATTTGTTGATGGAAGCAATTTAATAAACTTTGATGTCAAATATAATCATGTCAAAAATATGTACCAGTATAAGTCACGAATTATGATTAATTTTATATATTTTTTTTGTTTACCATAATTTTAATATCTTTGATATATCTCATATTAAGATTTAAATGGCATCATTTACTGGACTCACATATTGACACATCCATGGAAGACAAGATACAGTAAATACAGTCCCCAATACAGTAAAACATGTAAAGTGAAACACCTCTAAAAATAGGACACCTCCATATGTGAACCATTTTTTAGAGTCCAATGACCAATTGCCAATGTTCAATGGCCCTCCTCTATAAGTGGAACACCTCCCAAGTGGGACACTTTTAGAGGTAGTAAGGTACCAAAGGTGTTCCACTTATGCAGGTTTTCATGTATGCAATAGCCACATTGAGATACCTAGAGTATCCCTTTGTACAGAGCCATTCTGGGAATATGACACATACGATTTATTGATATTGAGAGTAATTTCCTGACACGTGAAGCAATTACAATTAATTGATGGTTCCACATAGGAAGTTCTATCCATTTGCATGAGTTTGACTATCACCAGACACTCACAGGCCTAGGGAAAAGTAGTACATTAAAACCTGTGTATATTAAACATGTTTTTGCCAGGAAAAAATGTTCATTGTTGGTAGGTGTTCACTACAGAGAGGGTAATTTATACAGAAGTCAGCAGAGTATGCACCAAGGAAGAATGCCTACTAGAGAGAGCTGTTCACTAAAGAGAGGTGTTCATTAAGACAGGTTTTTCTCCAGCTTCTACATTTTTCTTTATCCCTATAGTATCTGGGAAAGACTCCTCTTCAACAATCTTAGTCTTTTTAAGAGTTACAGCAAGTTGTCATTTCTACACATGAAGGCTGACATTATTTAGTATTAAGATTTCCATGAAAACAACCTTTTGTATTGATCTTGTCAGCATCAAAACTGTAAATCATTTGAGTTGCTTTGAGGGTAATTCATTACCCCTTGATGATGGGATTTAGGTACTTTGGAAGTAAAAGAAGTAAAAGACTGGATCATTTAAATTCTAGGTAGAGAAATGAAGTGAACTCTTCTCAAAGGGTATGTTTTAAAAGTCCTAGTTCTAATCATAGTTCTGAATATAATTTAGTGGATTTGAAAGAATTTTTGAAAGGGTCTAATTGTTTCAGAATACAAACTAATTTTCAACTTAAAAAAAGATTTACATTTTATGATTTCAATACTTCAATTCATCGAGCATTTCAACAGAGGACAACCTCCTGCTGCCATATTCAAAAGGATGGGCTTTTGATGGTCAAAAGAAAAATGTCAGGTTAAAATACTGGGAGTACTGTATGTCCTTAAACCATCCTAATGTCCTCAACTGAATGTGGTTAGGTTCAAAATATGCTAGCTTCCATTCAAATTCAAAGACATCGATATTTTTTATCGTAGAATAAGGTATGTACTCCATTTCAAATGAATAGCTTTATATATTCAGTTAATCTAGAATACAACTTTTCAGCCTTTTTGTATAAACACACATGTCACAGTTGTTCATTTCAGCACTCCCAAACTTAAGATTTCAACATTGTATACTTATTAAGTGTTATTAAGAATTTAAAAAAAACACTGTAAGGTGAAAACAACTGAATGTCAACAACGCACAGACAGACAAACACCTGAGATCTCAATTGAACTCAATGCAAATATTTTATTTACTAAATAATGGCTCTACTAGTAAATACTGGGTTAACACATACAAAAAGTGCTATGAACTAAGAATGCCAAATATACCAGTCCATACTAGATAAACTTGATTAGAATTCAAGTCATGTAAATAGTCAAACATGAAAATTACGATTAATTATAGTCAAGCGATAAACAAGTTAATTCTTAGTTTTCAAATTGATTTGTTTGTTTATCCAAAGACTTTATTAAATCAGTGTAAATACCACCTTTTAGTAAGTGATATTTTAGAAATAATGTTACTCATGACTTGTTAACATTGTAAATCTCTAGAGTTGAAATATTCATGTTTAATTATAAACAAGATAAAAAATATTAGTGTTATCTTTTTTTACCTTCCTTTATCTGTTATATTCAATTTTTATGAATGTAATGATATTGTATTCAGATTAAAATGGATGGAGAGATGGCTTTAAGCATATAGTCAGTCTTGGAAAAAAGTCTTAAAAAACATGGCTAATAATAGGGTCTTAGCCACCATTATGAATGGGAGGCATAACTTCAATTATACTTCTTGGGATTTGCAAAAAACTGTAAAACCTTGACACTCGTGCATTTTTTCCCAGTATATATCTATGGAGTGATCTCCCCCAGCATTAAAGCAAGTGGGCTCAGCCGCGTCACCCACCTGAGATTTTAAATATAGGCTTGCAGCCTTGCACCAATCTGAAAATTCATTTGCACCCTCTTGAAAATGAGAAAAACATAAAATCGGTATATTTTGACAGATTTTGATCTGAATTGTGAAAATGAGAATTTTGCATCCACTTGAGGAATCCTATGGAGAACACTTCCATGGTAACAAAAACATTACTGATATTCTCACAACCATGGATATCCAAGAACACTCGTGGATATTCTGAAAAGTATAAGCCTTTCAATCAAGAGATGCACTACACTGTACTTTATAACATGGTTCAGTGAAGTTCCGTATCCCCTGAGAATGCTATCAGTTATCAGTGATAGATCTAAAATCGGAACAGAATAATAAATAACCTTTTTTAATTTCATTGCATCACCATGACAACAAACTACAGAAAATACTGTCAGGAATTGAAGCTCTCTTAAATCATATGCTTCTAATACTAGCAACCCACTGACAATATGACGCTCTGTGCGCTATGAAGAAATACAATGCATGAATGTCATATTTCAACAGCATTTTGATTTATTTTGGAGAAACTTCAACAGTTTCTCCATTTGGTTTTAACATGGGCTTTCAAGAGTAACCCTATAGCCCATGGTTAATCATTGGCAGGAAGTTCTTTTCTTTTGATTTGGTTTATGAACCTAAACTAAAAACATAAGTAGCATCTAGAGATTTTCAATTGAATTTCAAAAAAATCACCTAAGACTTTTTCCTATTTATTCTGAATACTATAAGCAACCTATGTTAAGATTTGATAATTCAAAATATTTGTTTAAATAGGAAGTGCTGTTCAAAATGACCGATGGAGTGATTTAATTTGCATATTTGTTACTTCAACTACAGTAAAATTTTAAATGTTTGAGTACTTTGAATTTAAAAAATAAGCAATCAAAGGACCATATTGAAACGGTTTACGTAAAAATAGAAACATTTATATTTATCCTAACTGCGCCCCCCCCCCACCCTAAAAAGTCAGAAAATTTGTGCTCACTTTTCCCTTTCAAAATCACTTTTCAACAAAATTTGACTCTTTTTTTAATTCGCTCACAGTTATCATCACACGCCCCCCCCCCCCCCAAACACAAAATCCTGGATCCGCCCCTGGGAGGTATAGATCTATAGTAAGCAGCTGAATTAGGTATTTCAGTTTCATCTGTTACAATTACCTAGCAGCCTATTGGCTGAAAACTACAGCGCATCTGAGACAAAATAAGGCCGAGACAAGAATACTCAAGTTTCCAATCAATTTCTTCAGTAGATTACAACAGGTAGTCTATACATGTAGGGGCGAAAGTGATGACTGTGATACCCATTATGATATGCTAATGCAACATTTGTTTTTCAAACTTGGAAGCCTTGAAACTCAATCACATCAGTCAAATGTCAAACACTGAAACTTTTCAACTTCATTCAACAAGACTAAAAACAATAACATGGGCAACATTTCAGTGGTGAAGAGAAGCATTTATCAACGCTAGTGAACGTTTATAATGTAATATAAATGACATACCTTCCTTGGGTTTCTTTTCATCCATTCAACGACGAATATCAATGTTCTTTACTAGAGTAAACTGAACAAATATCCTGAAATGCATGAAAGATGGAAGCACTTATCACGCATGCGCAAAATACTACTTCCGCTTTGAAAAATATACACACATGTGAAAATTTGATCAGTTTAGGTATTAATAAATCAAGTTTCCTGGGGAGATATAAATAAACCAGCATGCAGCAAGATGATGTAAGTATCAATGCTTATAGAGATAGTAAAATCACGACATTTAAACCTAATTATCTACAGGAAATATGAATGCAGAAAAAATCTACTCCGATTTTTTCTATTATCGCCCATAGATCTAATAGGCTGCCATCTGATCTGAATAAAAAGGGCCTTACTACACTCAGTTAGCATAACAAAAGTAGGCGGCTGACCTGCTCCTAGTGACTTTGACTGTCGGAGTTTTAAGTGTGTCACTAGGGACGGGGTTGTTTCCATACTGAATTCATGAATAATTTTCAGAAAAAATAAAAAACAATTTGAGGACATAGGGATAATCTCGGACACGGGCATTGTCAGAAGATCTTTAGTAATTCTTTGTCATCGCTGTGGTGCTATATAGTCTAATAATGTCCCAGATTTTCTCCTGATACCAAGGGTTTGTCCGGGAATTATTTCAAATTAGCCCATTTCTCTTAGCGTATGAGATTTCTGTGAGACGATAGCCTACAGCTTGGAAAAAAAGTAACCCGGGTAGTTCCTCGCATTGTCAAGTTTTGTTAAGTGAATAATTTGCAAAGTTTGAAGATCACTTCGAGAAATCAATATAATAATTTGATGGAAATATTATGATTTACCCACCTCAGCAGATCAAGCACCATTTTGAAGCCAACCAGCATGTTCAGTATAAATGGTCCCCAGTGCAGCAATAAGCCTGCATTACTGATAAAGAGGGGCAATGTCAACGTGGTCTGACAGTCGCCCCAGGGTATCTCAACATAAAGGAACTTCGTAGGGGGATACATGGACCAACCAGGAAGCTTCCTTTCAGTTTTAAAAATGAGTTGTAAACCCTACAGTTTCGAACATAAATATAAATGACAGGTGGATTTGCTGAAGTGAGGATTTCCCATGTTAAAAAGAAGAGAATTTTCAAGAGGCCATACATCAGTGGATGAGATTATACAATATACAATATGTAAAATATACAAATTATAACACAGAGTTGCATACCCTTCTCTTGAAAGCCCTTGATCTAGACAATATTGAAACTTTTTGTTAAAAATTTGTCAGCAGTTCATGACACCCCTACTAGCAGTTACAAAACAATGATTGCTCTACAGCATGTCAGGTAATATTATCGTATAGTGGTCTTGGTGTAATATATTCACAGGAATAATTTTGGTAAGATCGTATTATTACATCATATATTCTTTTCTATTTCTCATTTCAGGTGATTTGGAGCATCATCAATGACTCCTTCTGCTCCTTCAAAGTCAGGTAAGTTATTCAAACATACCACTCTTGTTCAGGTTCAAGCATAACAGCATCAAGAAGCATATTAACTTGAGCTGATTATCCATGTGGGTCAAGTACATCTCCTTAACCAATCATGGTTTCTTCAGGATTTGTATGTGTCATGTTTGCTTTCAGTGCCATGGTATAGTTCTAAGAAAGTTAGGAATGTTGATAATAAGGACATGCATTTTGTTTATTTGATGCAGTTTATCAAGAATTTGTTTGGTACGGAGTTTGTTTTGTAAAGCATTTATGTGTTATAATATCATTACCTGTTACCTGAATGCACTTTGATGTGGCTGTATACTATAAGTGTAAATGATCATTAATGATGTCACCTATTAAGAATTGTTGAGATATAATCTAAATGTATCATGGCTTTAATGTAAACTTCAGGGAAAATAGGAACAGTGGTGTCAAATATTTTGTACATATGTGCTTCATTTGAAGGTTTAGACTTTTCTATTTTCTGCCTTTCAGAACCAAAACCCAGAAGTTTTGCCGGAATGAGTTTAACTTAACAGGACTGTGTAATAGAACAGCGTGTCCTCTCGCCAACAGTCAATATGCAACAGTCAGAGAAGAGAAAGGTTTGTATTTTTAGGAGGCAACAGAATATAGAGATTGGCTGGAAATAAAAACAATTCCTATAGTTTTCCTTAACCCTCAAACGATTAGGCTATAGAGAATTACACCCCCCCCCCTATGATCTCTGAAACAACCAATCATAGGAAGGAGTATTAGGTATCATTTAAAACATGCCATATTCGATTTTAAGTAAAGCCAGCAAGTTTCAGATCAAAAGACAAACCACAAAAAAGGTTATCAAAAAAATCCTAAGGGGGGGATCTGCCCCCCTAACATCTGAGGGTTAAAAGTAGGGGTGGGACGGATAACCAAAATACCGAAAAACCGCGGTTCATAGCCTTTCGGATCGGTTTTCGGATCACGGCCCTACTTTCGGATCAGCTTTTCGGATCGTTTTCGGATTAATATTTCATTGGTCAAGTATCAATAAAACAGTTAAAAACACTGTTTTACAGCAACATTTTTGATATTCCTAGTCCCTACCTTGTCTGTCTTGTCTGTTGCTAGCTCACTCGTCTACTAGATTCGTTTTGTATCCGCGTATTCGTATCCCTCGGTAATCAATCATGTGGTCCCTGGTACTATATTCTTTAGTCGTGTATTCTAAATAATATGTATTGTTCATGAAATACTATAACATAAAATTCCATCTATAAAATATTGTTATAACGTGGCATAATTGATACAAAGATTTGCGCAAATTTATATTTGCGCAGGTTCGATATAGGGTATTATTTTGTGCGCACCCACAATACATTCAAATATGGCGTCTGGATCTCAAATTCCCGTTTTCCCAAAAGAAATGAAGATTATTGCAGCCCCCACAAAGCTAAAATCAGCCGTTTGGACGTACTTTGGGTTCGCAGAAGTCGATGGGAAGTTGCTCACTGATAAAACAATTTGTGAAGTCAGAGACAAAGCAGCTAATCATGTCAATCAATACAAATCCTTAAAATGAATGAACCGAACCGAAAAAACCGAACCGAAGGCTGATGATCCGAAAAACCGAACCGAACCGAAACGAACCGTCCCATCCCTAGTTAAAAGCATTTCTTTTCACTTTTAGGTATGATTTAATAGAGCATCTCAGTGGAGTAAATGTTTATAATGACAACATTTTGGAATACCTGGCCACTGGTCTGTGGCATTAATACATCAATTTTGGTGATGATGTCATAGCTTAGATGCTCTGTGATCCCTTAAGCTCTCCTCCCTTATTACTCATTCAGTACAGAAAAACCTGTATATCCGAACATCTTTTCTATCTAAACACCTTTCAATGTTTACAATTTTTTTCGAATTAGGTTTTACTATATATGTTTGCATGTTAATGAGGTGCATTGTACTGTATCATGCTTTGTAGGTGTGGCTTATTTATACATGAAAACTATTGAACGAGCGGCGTTTCCAGACAGGCTATGGGAAAAGGTCAAACTATCAAAAAACTTTGAAAAGGCTTTACAACAAATAGATGAGCATCTCATATATTGGCCAAAGTAAGTTTACCGTTTTGAGGAAACTGTATACAGTGTGATTGTGTGTAATGTTTTCTATTAATACATATTTATTACTATACTGTGTAATATGCATTATGTGGACTATTAAATCTTGTTTTATAGTCTTGTTCAAAATTACAACCAGCTGTCCTAGAAAACAGTAGCACTTGAAATACGGAGAAATACAAAAAGGATTTTCCTGTGTTTTCAATAACTACTACTATTTCTTACACATGACATGGTACATGATCTTATACTCTGGTCAGATTGTATTTCTGATGCCATCCCGACCCCTCTTCAAATTACAACTACCCTGATTTCCATCCAGTTTTATAATTTTTATCTAGTAGTACTTGCTTCTGATTGGCCTAAATCCAGATAGTTTAAATTAATGATACTATAATATTGTACAGTATTTTTTAGAATACTTTTTATCGTGTTACATATTTAAAATAAACTGTATATATGTACAATAACTTGTGTTAGCTTCCTTGGTAACTATTCCTCTTACATTTGTCTGCTTATATTTCAGATATTTACGCCATAAATGTAAGCAGAGGTATACAAAAATAACACAGTATTTAATAAGAATACGAAAACTCACCCTGAAACGAACGTAAGTAGATCGACATGCTAAATTTTGCTTTCAAATTACATGTACAGTGTAAACCCTTCTAAATTGAACACTTATGGAACCTTGCAAAAAATAATCATGTTCATGGTATAGGGGTGTTCAGTGTTCATCTTAGACAATTGAAGTAACATGTAGACAATATGAGAAATGAGTATTGGTCTCTGTAAAAAGGGTTCATACATGAGATTTGACTAAAAGGAGTGTTTGAGTAAATAGGTTTAACTGTGCTAAGTTAAAATGACTTGATTAGGGTAGATTCAGCAAGTTAAGAATAACAACAAGTCAATTAAGTTGTCCTGTTAACGTGATTAATGATCAAGGAACAGTTTAGCCTTAATCTTCTAGGTGATTCTTTCATAGTTTTTCAAGCTGTATTTTGATACCCTTGGATAGCTACAGATTGCCCTTGTTAAAATTAGAATACATCTTCGTTTACTTGGTTTCTGTTAATCGCAGTGAACACAGTGAAGGCCAAAGATTATTAGAATGTCCTTGATCATGATTTGTTCATATTCTTTCTACAAAAAATAATAATTTAAAAATGTTTTTGCGACCATTGTACTTCAGTGTTGATTTCATGGTAACCTCACATGTACAGAGGCACAAATTAGCTGATAGAGCTTAATTTTGAAATTAGAAATTTCACCTTGTTGACAAAATAAGGTATTCTCAGTGTGTAACATACTATTGAGTACTTAGTAGTGGTTGGAAAAATCCTAGAAATTAAACATTTTCATTGTTTATTACTAATTGTTGAAAGCATTTTTGAAGCATTTTCTGTTACCCTTACAGCGAAGATAAAACATAGGGAGAGAGAAGGAAATATAGAAATTATCCTATGTTAGGTCAGGATATTAGGATGAGGATCTTGGAGGAAATAAATGTTTACATTATGCCATCTTTTGACAGTACTTGAGATCATAATTGTCTAATACATGATTTTGTGTTACAGTAAAAAGCACATTAACGACTACCACATGATATGTTAAATGTGTGTTAATAAGAAGCAAATTGTAGACTAACACAAGATATATATTAAATGTGTTACAGTAAGAAGCTGGTACCATTACAAAGGAAGATAGAACGTAGGGAAAGACGGAGAGAAGAGAAGGCTTTAGTTGCTGCACAGTTAGATAATGCAATAGAGAAACAGCTCTTGGACAGATTGAAACAAGGAACTGTGAGTATAAAGATTCCAATACAAGAAAATATATGATATTAAGTTCAATTCAATTTTTTTCAATTCAATTCAGTTTATTTATTTCATAATTCTTATATAATATACACTATAAAAACAAGCCGCTAGACACCCTAGTGGGTATATGTTGCGGTTTATCTTCCATTCATTCCCATATTGCCAACATATTTCCTCAGAATAAACTAGACTACAGATGGTTTATCTAAACTCAGTGTTAATTGTATCTTAATGCACCTATTCAATTTAATAGATTTAATGCCTCTATGACTGTCAGTAGATTTTGAAGAATTCAGCGGGTTTAATTGTATATTTCAACATGTTAAAAATACCTCTTAAATTAATCTTCTAGGATACATTTCAATGAAAATATGAAAAACTTTATGATATTGAATCTTAAAACATGTTTGGGAAAATGCAATATTGATTAAATTTATGTCGTGTATTTGGATTTTGAATTCAAATATATATACACACGAACCAATGGGACAGGTGTGAAGAAAAACCCACTAGAGAAAATTAGTGAAATGCCATCTATTTCAGCCTCCAGTCAATATTCTTACCATATATGACAGATAATGTCACAGGAAAAGGAATCTGGGTGTAGTATTTTTAGAGATATGTACTGTATCCGTATGTGTATGCATAAGATGGTTTAATTGGTTTAAGTACAAAAACACATGTGCCAATCAAATTCTTGCAAGTGATACTTTCATGGAACAAATATTAAATGTATTTGCTTTTTCTAATTTCACATTCTCTACCACCACCTGATATTTATGCTCAGGGCTCTCACCAGGAAATATTTAGGATGTGGTTGAAACATCTCAGCATAAGCATTCAGTCGTGATAAATCATATTTATGTTATATTTTTTATCCTTTTACATGCTATTATTGTGTATTCAGTCAAGTTTAGACTGTGGAAACAATCATGATTTGCCAATATGTTGTGGTGGGAGCTAAATAGACTGTGGTGCTGCGCCACAGTCTAAAATCCTATCAAGAGCCCTGTTGCTTATCTGAATTTATTTACTTATAACAGTATGGTGACATTTACAACTTCCCGCAACATGCATTTGACAAAGCAGTTGAAGAGGAGGAGGTATCAAGTGATGAGGAGGAGACAGAGAAAGAAGGAGAGGAGGGAGGAGACAAACATGTAGATGAGGAACAGGAAGAGGAATCTGAGGATGAGGTGAGAATAAAATCAGAGTTTGTTTCTTGTGTGTCTGGGTTTCGCTTGTAGGTCTGGTTTTTCCATCTTTATGTACTACTGAGTGTTCTGTAAATACCGCACTTCTACTTAATTTAGCGCTACTTATTTTGGCAGATTTGCAGTTTTGAACATTTGGTGGCAACTTAATTTGGCGGACTTGCAGTATTACCATGCACTAATAGTACTACTTAACATGGTACTAAATTACCAGGGAATTCAGCAGCTACTTAATTTGATGGATTATAACAAATTGGCCAAGTAACAAATAAAACGGTCGCCAAATTAAGTGAAAGTACAGTAGTGGAACACATTAAAGTGATGAAATCACAGATTGACTATGAACAAACAATGTTGAATTTATATTGTGAAAATACAATTGATAGTCTAGCAGGTAGCTGTTCTTGAGATAAATTGGCTGTTCGATCAGAAGGATTTATATCAAAGTGTAAATATGGGGACATTGAGGAAAAAAGATATTAAAACATAGTTGGAAAGCACAACTAGGCATAAGAAAACAAATCCTTAAAGAGGGACATGGGGTATAAATAGGAGGCAGACAAATGGAACAGCCAAAATAATTGGATTTTTGATATTTTCACAAAGCTGGTCAATTTTCTCGATTGATTGAGAAAATATATTGCTTCCAATTTTGTTATGTGTATCTTTCAGTGTTTTGATGTTCATATTCTGCAGCTATATGTATTTTAACTTCATCAATTTGTTGGATAGTGATAGGTAATAATATTTTTTTCAAATTAAAACTCCTCAATCAAATCAAGTATTAAGCAATGCTGTTGATTAATTTATTTACTAATCCTGACTTTCTGTACCGTGTTAAAGTGTGGATGTAACATGATATTTTAATGGGAGTTGCTAGAAAGTTTAAAACTGGCCTATAAATTTTAGTCACATTTGCTCTGTGGTATAGAAAATGTGATATAGAAAATCTACATTGAACTGCTTATCCCTATATTTAAGCTGCATATTTCTCTCAATTTTGGGAAGCTTCGGCTACCATACATTTGCCGTAGGTCAAATGTGACTAAGGCATTAAAGTGATCCAAAACATAATTTAAACTAAGGCCCTTCATTAAATATTCATTTGAAACATTTATTCTAAACCCTTATAGTTTTCATATTATTATTTACATTTCAGGAGGAAGTCGAGTATGTTGCTGAGGAGGAATTTGAAGAAAGTGATGTGTCAGATATTGAGGTAATTGTCATAATCATATTTGGTGAGCATAACTCGTAGTGCATCACTTAAATCTTGTCATCTTACCTGATCAACTTGAAATTTTTACAAATGCAAGAGCAGACAAGTTCTGATTAGGTTTTGGGCATGCTGGGTAAATTGCTTGGTGTCCATTTTGAATTTTCTATAAAAAGTGCAATATTTATCAATTTGTATCTTGTTTACTCACAATTGATTTAACAGAGTAGTAAACTAGATTTTTCAAATTAGTGTTGGAAATTTATAGATATTATATGTGTCTTCTTCCATGATCCATTACGGGGATAATGTAAATACTGTTGGTCAGATATATCATTCATATTTTATATGAATATGCCTTTTGGATTTACAAATTCTGATTCAAAGCCAATTTTCAAAATGGCTACTAATTTTTATTTTTAATACTAGTGATGATTGCATAATATTTTTCAAAAGGGGAGTGACCACCCAGTATATCAAGACCCTTTCTTCATGTAAATATGAACTTGTTTTATTCTCCCATCTATCCTCCCTACGTACCTTCTTACGTATGTGCGTCTGTCTGGGCAATAACTGAAATACTGTTGGCTCAATATCTTTCATATTTAATATATTTATACCCCATGTGAGTTCTGATGGAAAACTGATTTTCATAAATTGCTTCTGGTTGATCTGTAATTTTTCAATGGAGATGCTCTTTTTCTAGTTATTTTAGATTTTTTCCTATAACTGGAAAAGAAAGGGAGTGATTTTGATGAAAAGGGCATGTAAGATGATGACAAGCATTTTCAAAGAGCTTTATGATTTTGTCATTGGTGATTTTGTGGTCACTGAGTTTTTAAAACTTACCATATCTTACCTGGCCCTTTTATATGTGAATAATTAGAGGCAAGTTTGGCTAATTTAAGCAACAATTTTCAAAAATGGCTACCCTTTGCATTCGTTTGACTTCACTTCTTAAAAGAGAGCTTCGTCTTCACTCTTTCAAACTAAAATAAACCTGTGAACTCACCGCGCCAATCAGTGTTTGTCGGCCAAATTTGACCGACGTTCTATATATGGTCATTCCTATTGACGTCATCGTTGAGCCCGAAATTGACCAATGGCATGCGCATATTTAATTAGAACGCATTTGGCGTATGTTTCTTCAAGCTCGTTGATTAGTGGAAGAAAGGTCAGCGCGTAGGTCAGAAGTGATTTATTACCCAAACTGTCACCGGTACCCGTCGTGGGGGCGGGACTACTAAACTGTAATATGGTCGCTACTAGGCAGAGTGTAGTTTAACTAGACTCTGCACGCAGGGTAAAAAATGGCAGACATTGTTGTTTAGTGGTATTTGCAATGACTTGGCGCTGCAGTAATCTAGTATTTCACCATAATGTGTAGTTTATTATCTGACAAATGATTCTATGACATCAAAAAATTCAATGAAGGTAATGTTAGAAAATTGAAATAGTTTATAGTTCATGACGAGCACATATTACACCTCTCACCTAGCTTATCTTTCAGATCTCAATGTCAGCTGTGGTCAGTAAATCATATTTGTATCGTTAAAATTACAGTTATCATGCAATGAAATAGGTTGTCATAATAGTGGAAGAGGTTTTGTGAATTGTGTTCCAAAATTAAAAAGTATAATTTTGATATTTTTACTTCGGAATGTGTAATTATCCCAATGAACATGACAATGATATTTAAGAAACACATGGCAGCCATCTTGAAAGATGGCGGCTTTTACAAGCTATTTCACAATTTTTGCTGTAACTTGAAAAGAAGTGGAGAGATTTTGTTCATATTTGATATGTAAATACTCCTAAGCGTGGTACACTGTTTTATGACACTTTGGCTAGAAGGGTGCCATTTTGAAAATGGCAACCATTTTTACGTTTTAGGATGACCCCAAAAATAATAGAGCAATTTTGTTCATATTTGATAAGTACAATATAAGGATTTTGTGAAAATGTCAACCATGGCTGTTCGATGGGATTTGCTACGCTTTGGCGTTGCTGTTATCTAGTTTCTACGGCAATCTACGTGTATTATTTAATCTTCAAATTGACAATGATTTTATAAACTGATTTGGTAAATGTTTTATTCAGTGGCATTTGCAAATAACTCATGGAAGCTGTTGTTATTTGCTATTCATAAAATCTAGTTACAGCACTTGGTTAAATAATTGAAATATATGCTGCATACAAACTGATTCTTGATTATTAATTAGAGGAATGTGACTATTTAAATAACATAATGTTAGCTTCAAAAGTATACTTCATGTTTTCCTTTGTCATTTTAACTTCAATTGTGGCATTATATTTGACAAGCAGAAAATTGATAAAACATGGCAACAGTAAACCCAGCATTTCTGAGCGAGAAATGTTTGGGAAGTTAGATAAATTCAAAACAAATGTATTAAACTCTGGATTCAAGGAACAAAGAGTACACGAGAGGTTGACACCATTTAAAATCAACTCGGAGGCAAACAGAAAACTTGTATTTTACAATAGACTACCAAAATGTGGCTCAAGCACAATGTTAACGTTATTTGGAAAAAGGAATCAAGTTTTTAAACTGATAAAAACAGATATATATAATAAACGTCAATTAGACGAAAAAGAACTATATGAATTTGTACATTCGTTCAAAATATCTTCGAAGAAACAGTTAATAGAACGTCATCTTTATTTTGTTAACTTTGAAATACATGGTTTGAGGCAGCCAATTTATATCAATTTAATTAGGGATCCATTGGACCATACTCTTTCGAGGTATTATTATCACTTTGAAGGGGAATCAATTAAGAGACAATTAAAAGGAATGAAAATCAAAACATTTGAAGAATGTGTAGGGAATAATTTGAATAATTCTCTACCAATTAAAGGATGCTTTTTTCTTCAAAAGAATATGTGCTTTGGTTTTGTGGACATGATGAAGCGTGTTCCTATATACAATTATTGACCTCTCTAGAGGTTTACTGTCAAAATTATATCCCGAGACTGTAAGCCGAGACCGTAGGTCGAGGTTTACAGTCGAGGGATATAATTTTGACAGTAAACCGAATGGAGAGGTCTATAATTGTTTTGTTAGTCCGAAGAATATCTTAGATTTTTCTGACCCTTGAAGTTGACTTGAAGTTGGATCCAGACCCTCGAGACGTTCATGTTGTATTTCAGTATATCGGCAGTAAGTTCACTCAATTGAGTCAAATTACTCTCCTGGGCGAAGTCCACTAAAAGCTTTGTACAAAGTTTTAGATTTTTCTTCGTATTTTGACTGTCTTTATTCTCTAAGAGACTAACAATATCCTCATCTTCAACATTTTTGAAACGGCTAGTGCTAACGGCGGCCATTTTATCGTCTGATAATGACGTCATTTTAGTGGAATGCTGGGAATATTATTCACCGGCAATGCATTGCGCGGTGTACAGTTAAAATTATTCACCGCTCGTTGACCAATCAAAATCGAGTATTTCAACTGAGGTACTAACAATATGGATTATGGACTAGCAAAGGCCAAACGAAACATCGAGAAATATTACATGCTGATTGGCCTAACTGAGGAGTATGCTGAAACTTTACAAGCTTTAGAACTTATGCTACCGTCTTACTTTAAGGGCCTTAGTAAGGTTGACATTGATGCTACCTGGAAAAACAAAGTACCTGTGTCGAAAAAGATACGACCATCTGAAAAAATAACCCAATTTATCAAAGAACAATTGAGATATAACTACGAAATATACAATTTTGTAAAACAAAAATTCCACATCACCTTGAAGAGCTTGGGAATACATGTATATGATAACAGTTCACTTTGAAAGAGTTGGTGATTTTAATAACTACATTAATCATCATAACACTAACTGAAGGAAAATGTTTTTTTTCAAATATTTTTAAACACACTTTGAACAACAAAATGTTATAGCCGAAGTTTCTATATAGGTTTGGAATTTCGCTAACTCTTGTTTTTCAAGGAATTTTAAGAGTTTTGCATATTAAACCTCTAATGACTTACTATTCCTACTTTTTAATAGCATATTTGAATTCAGTGAAAAACAATGCTTGTAAGATGTTCGATGGGATTTGCTACATCTTGTTGCGGTTTTCTAGTCTGTATCGATAATGATGGCTTACAGGAAAATGATCATAAAATTCATATGTTTGATGCCAAATAAATTTTGACTCATGACATGTCCAAAACTAGTAAAAATGTATTTTCATTTTGTCTCAACTCTCGCATGGATAAGGCTGGATTTTGAAATACATGTAGACGCAAGCACAGTTTACAACATTCAGTCCATTGCCCAGCTTGTTTTTCATGGTCCATTGTCAAGAGTGAAAACTGACTGTGATTGGCTTGGCTGTCAGGTAGCTGTGTTAGTTTCGAACTCTGGGTGCAAAGATCAAATGGATTTAGCAGCCATAGTAGTTCAACGTTGTTAAACTCAATAACAGCGTTCTTTACTATTAGGAATTTTCTTGGCCGTTATTGAGGGGCCATAAGACATGTCAGATAAGAAAGGAGGCCCAGGCTAGGTCTTAAATGTTGTTGGACTACAGCCATAGTTGTCATGGAAATTAGTTAATCTAATCATGTATTTATTCTTTCCAGGATGGAGACAGACTGGGTGATTCTTCATCTGATGAGAGCTCTTCAGACGAGGAGGATCCAAAGGATGCCACAAGGCGGAAAAGACCACATATTGAAATTGAATATGAACGAGAGACTGAACCTTCCACATCAAAACAGAAATTACGGACTTTCTAGATATTTATTTATTTTCTGTAACATATTAAAAGAAATAATAATTGAATTATTTCACAATTCTAAATCTAGATTTATTACATAATGGGGTATAGCTGATGTGAATACTTATCAACTGACCAATTTGCAATGCGCCCTGCTGCCACCTTTTGTTACACCAAAGAAACAAGGATTTACCAGCATGATTCGTGATGTCATAAGTTGTAGGTAACAATATTCTCAAATATAATTCTAAGAAGATTAGCTATTCAAATTTTGTTTGAAAACATTTCTACCTACAACCTTGGACAATATGAATTCAGCCAATTTATTTTGGTATTCTTTCACCAAAAATGATTGAGATTTACAAATTTTTGATTTATATCTAAATCTTCTTCAGGTTAACTCATATTACAGTGAGTTAAGCTTTAGAAGATTTAGAAATAAGTTGAAAATTTGTAAATCTCAATCATTTTTGATGTTTTTATGTCACCACCAAAAAGTGGTGACATATTGTTATGGTCTGCATTTTTTTGTGATGGCGGTTGGTGATCGGCAGTTAGCGATCGGCGGTTTGCTGTTGATGGTTGGTGATCAGCGGTTGGTGTCTATAACAAATTCTTAAAACTTCCAATAACTTAACAAATACTGTTTAGACTGACTTCATTTTTTCAAAATCATCTACAAGTTTTCAGAAGTTCAAATCTGACTTAATATATAAGATTTAACCATCAGTGACCTTTTCAAGGTCAAAAAATGTCAAAAATGTATTTATTCAACTTGCTTCAAATTGACCAAATTTTTTCAAAAATCATCTATAAGTTATCAGAAGTTCAAATCTGACTAGATTTGACCTTCATTGACCTTCTCAAGGTAAAAAAGGTAAAAAAGATCTTTTTTCAACTTGATTCTAATTGACCAATTTGTTTTTCAAAATCATCTAGAAGTTCTCAGAAATTCAAATCTGACTTTAGTTGAACTAATAATATTATGTGCAACTAAGTGGTGACATTTTGTCATGTCATGTTACTGCCTTGTTAACACTACTGCACTTCACATCATACTTTGGTATTCTTTGTTGTAGCAAAATAATGCAGAGTTAAATTGAGAGGACTAGACTATTAATTTATTTTCTACCATTAATATTCATATGCCTTTGTCATTTACACAGCTGTATGAGGTATAATATACATACACATAAAGGTTAATTCTTATTTTATATAAACAAGGGAATTATTAATTTATCAACTGAATAATTGCTGAATTGACAATGGAGGTAATAAAGATCCATTAACATAATGAAATTGTATTCCCATTTATCAACATAATTGTTCAAAGTATGTAATCTGTTATTTTACATTTGCCACTTTCCGTGTAAAATACATGCTTAAGGACTAAAAGTGTTACAAAACAACAAGAAAATGAAACATCTAAAGAGTGCAACCATTCATAAGGAAAACAAACCCTAAATATCCCAAACTATTATCCAATGTGGAAAGATAAAATGTTTAATAATACCCATTTTCCAAATTGAGAGTGATTATGTTTTTGCTAGATTTTCACATTTTACAGAACTTGCTTTAAGATGGCCTTTAACGTTTTTCATTTCTCTGCACCACAATGTCCAATCGAGATCATTCGAGTACTTTTGTATTCCTGAGACATTTGAGCATCCGGGAATGGCAACATTTACACAAAATTTGCACGTTAAATTGATGTAATTTATGACTGAAATTGGGAAGGCAAAAAGCTGTGATTCTTTCAGATGTTCAAACTGTAATATAGAACCTTTTCAATATGGCAGTTGCTTCCATGTGCTGCTAATAAAGCAATGTATCTTCAAATGAAACCTGTCTCTGGAACACTTTTGTAAACAGTTTTCATGAGCAATTTTGTTTTTGTATCTCAAATTTAACTTCTGATTTCAGTCATAAATAACGTCAATATAGCATGCAAACTTAGGCTGGATGTTGTTATTCCCTGATGCTCAAACGTCTCATATAGGTATTCAGGTCCCTAGCCAGAGGGGTTTGACCTCCCCCCCCTGGCCAAAATTTCAATTTTTCACCATATTGAGCAAGGCACTTTTCAAGTGATTTTTGCCATTTTTCGGTCAAAGTGAACCCCCTGGAAATTTTAGAAAATGACCCCACCCCTCTCTTGGCCAAAACTTGGCTATGGGCCTGGGTACTTGAATACTATTGATTGGACATCATGGTGCAGAGAAAAAAGTAAAAAGAACCTGGAGAACTAGAATAGCACCTTAAATCAGGGATACCTACATTCTCCGATATTAATTCCTGGAACTTAAATAATAAATAACAGGTGGCACTGATGTCGATTCTGAATATTAAAATACACAAACTGTATCCAACAAACAATATCAATCTTCAAAACCATATTCCAATCAATTCACAAATAAATATAAACTAGACATAAAACTGTGGGAGCGATTTGCCGGTCCTAAAATGTTTCATCAAAGTAATAATTATAGCTCCAATTAGGTTCTCTTGGGCGTATCAGGAACTTCATTTCCTTGAAGGAATACCAGGCATTGTTTAGTTCTTTGTTTTCTTTCCGTTCTGCATCGCTGAAAAGTTCACCAGGCCATCCCATCCAACTCATACATCCAAACTTTATGTCACATTTGGTTCCATTCACATACTGTCCAAATGGGTTCACAACACCACAGTAATCTCGGTCCTCGTAATCGATATTTGCTTCTTCATAGATGTCATCGGCTGTACCATGAGGTTGGTAATACCACCATGCACCTCTACGTAAAACAGAGCATTTTGGACCATACTTGTACATTTCATTCCCATGATCCCAAGTAGTAAATGGGTTGTCGATATACCCATAATCATAATGGTAATAGTGGTAGTCAGTCATAACATCTCTACCAGAGCCTCGGAAATCTGCTATTCTAACCCCAGTATTACCATTATCGTATGCAGGCATTTGAAAAATGTAATATTCTGCTGTCTCAGTTTGACCACTCCATGTTGTGAACTCCAACTTTAGCACATATCTTTTCCTATTGTTCTCACTTATCAATGCTGCCAAGTTATCAAGGCCAATAAAATATTCTCCAGGTGGATCACCGAAACCAGCTTTATATTCTGCCCAAGTACGATAAAAATCGACACTCCCATCAAATCTATGAGCCACCAGCAACCAGTTTTCCTCACATTGAGCTTTGAAAGATCCTCCATTCGGAAGCTGTATATTATTGATGCCAGGCTTCTGTTCAATACAAGGTACATCCGAAGGGAGCTCTATGGGAAGTGGGCCAATCATTATTCTCATTGCTTTGAATGAATAGAACCCATTGTCTTTTCCTTCAAGAAGTTTCTCTGGCCATGCTTTCCAGCTCATACAGTCCATTTCTTTTTCACATTTGGGTCCATTATTATATCGTCCAAATAAGTTTGCTTTACCGCAACAGCCCCACCACCATCCATTTGGATTTATAGGATAGATTTTATCAGAATACTGTCCTTTCTTATAAAGGGAATTACCAGCCGAGCCTTTATATTCTCCCAATCTTAAAGTATACCAGGAAGGCCTATACTGTAGGTCCCAATCAACATAGTCTAATGGGGTGACATCAAACTTAAAATAGTCCGCTGTTCTGGTTTCATTTTTCCAAGTTGTTAACTCAATTCGCAGCATATATACATCTTGTGCAGCTGCAGAAGCAAGATTGTCAAGTCCAATGAAGTACTCTGATGGGGGATCTCCAAATGGAACACTATACTCTTTTTGTTCTTCTTGCGGATCGTGGAAGTCAACACTACCATCAAACCTTTGAGCAACAACCAGCCATTCTGAGTCACAAACTGCTAGGAAACTTGCACCGTCATCTGTTCTTATAAGATTAACACCTTCTGACTGTTTGTTGCAATTGTTAGTACCTTTAATGATACAATAAAAAGTTTTGATGAGGTCCATTATTCTAAGATTTTAATCAATTTAAAATGCAATTGCAAGTACTTTCTTATTATTATCAACATTGTTATCATTAACAAAGACATAATTTCAATTTAGATCTAAGTGTATATAACATACGATAGACATACCATCAATTCGAGGAATCTTCAACTGTTGGATGTTGTTGACAATCCAGCCCAACAATTTTTGTAGCTTCTTGAACTTAGGGTAGAATCGGTTCAACTTTTTTTCAATCCTCTTTGCCTCTTGCAATCCTCTCAATGCCTTGATGTTTTTACGATAAGTTTTTGTAATATTGAAAGCTTTGAGTAAGTTGTCATTCATGTAAATGAAGCCTACTCTCTTCTCCCAATACAGCAGATCAAAATAGAGTTTGTATCTAATTTCATAATCGAAATCATTGTGTATGGTGTTGAATGTATCAATCGTCACGTTAAATATAGCCTCAGAATCATTCTTCATTATACTCAACAGTTGTATTCTGGTGCTATGCCAATCTGTTAGTTGTTTCCAAAACTTTGTTAAACGTTTGCCAATTTTGTGCATCATGTGGACCGAGTTCTCAGCTATACGTTTATCTTCTTCTGGTATAATCTTTGCATATTCTTGGACTACCTTGGTTGTAGCTTCTAGGAGAGGTTGTGTATTTTTGGGCTCTATCTTAAGGAACATCTCTGTCAGTTTGAATTCATTCAGATAGTTTACCTTAATGCTTGCTCCTTGACACTGCACATTGCCTTCATCGATTACAAATATTAAGCAACACACGATTCCAGAGAACAGGCCTGAAAAATTAGGGTGTGTTTTTCATTTATTCATTTCAAGTTCTATAGTAAGACATCTGTACTTGAAGCAGCTTAAACAGAATATTTTCTCAGTTAATATTTATTATCCCATCGAACGAAGTTCGGAGGGATATAGGGAACGCCTCCATCCGTCCGTCCGTCCGTACATCCGTCCGTCCGTCCGGGCAATAACTCAAATACTGTTGGCCCGATTTTGTTAATATTTTGTACACATATATACCCTATGGGGGTAGAAGTTCTGCTCGAAAGCCAATTTTCAAAATGGCCGCTCATTTCAAAATGCGATTTTGTTCATATTTGGTATGTGAATACTATAAACATTGCACACTGTCTAAAGACACTTTTGGCAGAAGGCGGCCATTTTGAAAAATGGCTGCCATTTTAACATATTTTACTATAACTCGAAAAGTAGTGGAGCGATTTTGTTCATATTTGGTATGTGAATACTATAAGCATGGCACACTGTCCTATGACACTTTTGGTAGAAGGTGGCCATTTTGAAAAAAGATTTGAAAAATGGCCGCCATTTTAACGTATTTTACTATAACTCGAAAAGTAGTGGAGCGATTTTGTTCATATTTGAATTGTGAATATTGTGAATACTCTAAGCATGGCACATTGTCTAATAAAATTTTGGGGAGTAGTCGGCCATTTTGAAAAATAGCCACCATTTTTATGTGTGTTATTTTACAAGTACATGTGTGCGACTTTTCAAAAATTTTATAGGTGGCTACTTAAAAGCATATTATTTTTTCTGATGACAACTTGGCTAGTGAGCAACCATTTTGAAAATGGTGGCCTTTCTGGTGTGTTGTTTTATTATATTTGCTATATATTTCGTTTGTAAAAATGCCAGCCATTTCTGTTCAATGGGATTCGCTACGCTTTGGCGTTGCCGTTGTTCTGGTTTGGTCTTGCTTTTTTCTCTAATTTCTCTATTTATGATTTAAGTACCTAATTAACTACTTAATTTAGTACCTAATGTATTGTATGTGATACTAGCTAAGTTTCCAAAACTTATATTTTGGTTTAATTCTATTACTATCAGCTGTATTATGGATATTATATGATAGAGTTTTTAATGGAGTCATTCAAATAATCAAAATTTAACGAATCAAATAGGAGGTACGATAGATAATTATAGAAATAACTTTCAATTTAATTGGGCAGAGCATATTTTCTAACATCAACAGACTTGCCAACCTAAAATGAAAAATTTTGGGGAGATTTAAAAAAATTGCGGTACTTTTACGGGAGTTTTTTTCAAAATCCGGGAGTTTTTGTGGGAGTCTTTTGATAAAAAGCGGGAGTTTTTACGGGAGATCATTGAAAAAAAACGGTAGTTTTTACGGGAGATTTAAAAAAACAGGAGTTTTTGCGGTAAATTTTGAAAAAACGGGAGTTTTTACGGGAGATTTTTTAAAAAAGGTATTTTTCGCGGTAAATTTGAAAAAACGTGACTTTTTTACGGAAGTTTTCAGAAAAAACGTGACTTTTTGCGGTAGGTTCTGAAAAACGGGAGTTTTTACGGTATGTTTTGAAAAAAAGGGAGTTTTTGCGGTACATTTAAAAAAAGCGGGAGTTTATACGGTAGATTTCTCTTTAACCAGTCATCAAGAAATTCTGAAAATTTTACACATTGTCAATTTAATGGTCATCTTTTGAATGGTAACAATATAATTTAAAATCGATAAATATACTTTTCTCTATATTGCTTTAGAAAACACATTGGACACTTCTTTTGTTCTTGAAATCATATGTTCGGAATGAAATGAAACATCTATCCGAACCTCATTGGGAATATTGTATTATACAAAGGAAAGTTTGGTGGATTTAAAAAAAAGTATCTTGTTAATGAAATTAAAGGTTTGTCTTTATCTATTTCGGGGGTTTTTGTTTTAATTTTTTGAATACTTTTTGTTAAATCAACCAAGATTTCCTTTGAACAACTATAATATTGTGAAGTCTAAGAAGATGTTGTATATGCTATTTTGTTCAAACTAGCTTCGGAAAGATATTTCATTTCATTCTCAAGAAATGGTAAAAAGGAACAAAAATCAATTGCACTAAAATCAAAAAATGTTAACAAAAACAGTAATATAAAATATATGTAAATTATTTTCACATTAAATTGTTGCCAATCAGTCAACATTACATAAAGGACCATCTTTTTTTACAGAATGTTTTCAATATTTGGTTTAAGAGAAAAACATTGTTAAATTCAGTTCTCCATATTGATACCAATCCTTTCCAAGAAATGGTGCATCGCAATATAAATAAATCAGCTGTAATAATATTTGCCAAATCATTTTATGTTTTTTTGTTCAAAAACAATTAAAATGATTACATATTGTGTTTTCAAAACAATAAATGAATGACTATATTACATTTATAGTTTTTCCAAAATCAGATATTATTTGGTGCAATTGATGTTGAAAAGTCACCTTTGTATTATATGGATTCTATCCAAGATATATTTGTAATTTGACATACTTTGGGAATTTGATTTACTTTTGCAACATGCCATTTCTAAAAAATACAGTAACCATGAAAATATAACAAAAATATTGAAAGTCAAGATAAGTTTTCAAAAAACTTGGATGTGTAATATGCGTATATAAATGAGCTGAGTACATCTACATAAATACACCAAATTGTGAATTAAATGAAGGTATTTACAGTAATAGTCACTATGTAAGCCCATGGAACAGTACCATTTTATTAATCAACCAAACTTTAACTATTTTTGTATTACTTACGTAGCAAACCCATCCTTGTTGCATGCGTTAATTGTCACAACTGAATAAATCTGCTATTCTACATGAACAGTGAACAGAAAAAAGTCCCAATAAGTCATTAACATGCAGTGAACAGGTTAAGCTTGATATTTTATTTGCATATATTCTAGAATTATATTGACCAACATCCTTAATTAAAGGCAGTATACATTTGTGGTGTGACCACATGTACGGCAAGTATTTGAACACGCACAATAATGATGACTTTATTGGAAAATAAAATAAAAAATAGCAGTGCATAATTCATCAAACATTTCTATGTTAAAGCAAAATAATCAAAAACAATAAAATGGCTGCACTGGTTGTATTGATAGGCAAATGAAGGTAAATTATAACCTGAAAAGCGATGGACCTTTCGAACTAGAAATCGGCAGCTCCATGGAGAAGCAAATTCCAACAAACATAATATTCATGAATTTGTATACTGTATGTCACAATGTAATATTTACCATCTACTCTACCTGTGAGTTGGAGATAATAAATGACAGTTATTGGAGATCAGTTTCCATCAATTTAAGCATGCGATCATTCAGGAGGCTTAAATCATAAAGACAAGGGTTGCCACATTTTCAAATAAAAATTCCCCGATTTTTTGAAGGATTCAGGCATAAAATTTCCAAAAAATGCATTGAACTTCATCAATAGAAAAGAAAAAAGAGAAAGATTCCATGTTCGATGATTACAAGGACATGATTTTAGAAGTTTTCATATGGTTTTATCTCATGTCATGTATCTTCAGTTTCCATGCCTCAGAATTCTAAAATTGCCTCACCATCTTTAACATTTTTTTAGGTCAGGCTGTTGCTCAATTATTGGAGAACACTTGGTCTTAATAGAAGCCTTTACAGAGTGAAAACAAAGTATTTTGCATGAATTAACATTTATTTCTAAAATTAATATTCATTATCATATTCATTGTATTACACTTTATCTATTGTTGTTGTATTGCATCCTTTATTACAAAAATATATTGTGAGTACATTTACAATTTTATTTTACATAACATATTACTCTTTGAATACATTGTAAATATAGCCTTGGCTTTCAAAATCATTGCTTCATCATCGTCAGATTTAAAAATATGAAATATGATATCCCTATCATCAATTCTAAATAAATTCAAAAGAGCGACTCTTTCCGCATCTATGGAATGGATATATACTAAAATATCAATTTTGATAGAGCATACTCGAAGCACATAGGACAGAACATGATTAAGTAACACGGATCACAAATGTGCCATTATAAATCATCCTACAGGCCCGTAGCCAGGGGGTTCTCAGGGTTTGGGCTAACCCCCCCTGGCCAAAAATTCTTTCAAAATCATGCAGTTTTTCACCACTTCTCAAGTAATTTTAGCCATATTTGGGCTAAAATTGTCAAATGTGAACCCCCTTGGAAACTTTTGAAAACTGAACCCCCCTTGGCAAATCCTGGCTACGGGCCTGTCCTATGATACTCGCCCTATAAGCATGCCTCACATATAACACCTCCTACATTATTGTCACTCAGTCACATTGATACTTTTTTAAACAATTGTCTATTTTGTTGGAGGTCTCGTAATGTTCTCGTTCCAATCTGGCCAGACTTCCTGTTTAATCCTCTCCACGTAATCAACCAAGTTTTGACATGACTCTGGAAGACAGAATAATATTATAGTATAAACAAGGATAACAAGGAACACTGTTTACAATATCGTATCTAAAAATCAAAAATGGCCATATTTACATTTACCCAGAATGCCCAACCACTATGCAGTTCAGGACTCCTACTATGAAACATTTCTTTAAAAACTATAAGTAATTTGTCTGAAAATGTGTGAACTGCCGTCACTATTGCCACGTATCATGCTGACAACAGTATCATACTTATTATGTACGATAAAAAGGAAAACATAGATGTGAATACAAGAACAAGTTACAAGGTGATATGTGACAAAATGTCCAGGCCCGTAGCCAGGATTTGCCAAGGGGGTTCACTTTTTTGAAAATTCCAGGGGGGTTCACTTTTGACAATTCTGGTCCAAAAGTGGCCAAAATCACTTAAAAAGTGCTCAGAATGGTGAAAACTGCATGATTTTGAAGGAACTTTTGACGGGGGGGGGGGGGGGGGGGGGGGGGCTACGGGCCTGATGTCACTATATCAAACTGCAACACTTTCATTGAAAAATTCAAAATGGCTGCCCAGTAGAAGCATGAAGAGTGAAAGAGTCAGCCATTACTCAGTCACTGCCATCAAAGAATTTTAAGACCCAAAAGCATTTATTCATCATAAATTACCTGTCACAAATTTCAGATGAGGAGAGCCAGGACTGTGGTAGAGAATTTGAGCCAGCATACCAAATATCGCACAGTCAACTTCAGATATCTTATCTCCCATTAGGTAATTTTTTTCACCTAAAATAACAAGTATGTACAGTATAATTAATAGTATCTCAGAGCATTTTGGGTATTTTATTGAGGTAAAACAATTTTGAAATATACAACAACATGCTTTGGAAGTTCATGGTCAACATGCTTGCAAAGTACCAGTGTGTGATTGATAGGAAATGCATTCAATGGAGTTAGGAAATGGTTCAAATGTCTAATTACCCATGTGATTTTTACTCAATTGAGTAATAATAACTCAACAAAGCATTAACATGCAAAATTTCACCACCTACCATTTGTTACAGACACGCTGAACACCAACCACCAAATGCTAAACACTGTCCACAAAAAAGTTGGAGACTATTGTGGTGGTTACATAATACAGTGAACCCTGTGACACATTTTACCCCATTGACAATTTATTCAAAGAAAAGAAACTTAGAATGCAAATACAGATGTACTGTATGATAAGATCTAATTTGTAGATTGAGAAGTTTAGTTAAAAAAAATATGCACCCCTAGCTGTGACAAAGTTAGCATGATTTCAATATATTGTTCGTGGTTTTATAGATCTTCATTTTTTCATTCATATAACTGAACTTTCTATTTTCAGAAATAACTGTTATTCAAGGTAATAAAAAGTGACTCAATTTCTAATTCTGATCCCAAAATATCCAAAAACAGCTGATAAATTAAAATAAAAGAATCTGTTTGTTGCACCAATAAATGGTATACAGCAATTGCCTTGAGTAGATCTAACGCAACTTTCGATATTTTCAGACAAAAGGTTCATACCATCAATTTACTAGAGTGCTGCTGACTCGATAAAAGGCTGGCGCTGGCTAGAATTGTCTATGGTTCTAGCCAGGATAAAGATACCAGTTCTTCAACTCAACAATGGGAAGAACTGCTCTACCTTAGTGACTAATATGTCATGATATGACATCTAAAGAGTCGATAAAAGATATATATAATTGATAATGTAAGTCACATTTTTTAGTTGAGGGAGTATTTAGAAGATGAGCCACTTTAACCTTGTAAGGTGTTCATATAATAACTAAGGGAAGGCATCAAAGGTCCAATGTCGGATCAGAAACTAAATAAATGTAGTTTTGACTTTGACTCCCCCCTTCCCCCACAAAACTAATACCATGAAAGTTGATTGCTGACTTCCGGTTTGAGAATTTGAAAAATTATTTCTAAAAACGATCTAGTTTTTTTGTTAATTCTTATCATAATTTGTGGCTTTTAAAGGGACCCAACACCTTACAAAACTTCTTAACGGAGAGGAATAAGGGAAAATGCTTGCCGGATTCTGAATTTGTGTATTTTCTAATGATTTTTCACCGTCTTAGAATTTCAATTTTTTTCTTTTGAAAAAATGAGATTTGCATTGTTTTCCAACTAGACAAATGAGTAAACATGAATAGCTCGAAATCTAACGGTGAGATTTTGTTTTAAAAAATCATGGATATCAAGGCTAAATATAGCTATACAATAAACATAAAAAAGCAATGCTTGGACTCTTCATATTCACACAAAAAAATAATTAGTAAATGAGGTTTGATATTTGTGAGAATAAGTTGTACGAGTCGCAATGCTCTACAAACATCAGACTACAGGGTGGATTAGGATCAATGACACACATAAAAATTAATTTAAAAATATTTCATGATAATTATCTCAAACAAAAGCAGTTAGCGAAGGATACATTTCATTACACTCAATAAATAGTTATCACTTTTGACTATATATACATATCTCATGGGAATGTATTTCCATCTGCTCAAGATATCATATTTTAGCTTCGAAAATCACAATCGTTGGATAATACATTTGTCTCAGAATGATAGGCCACCCTGTAGCAATGTAGCTTTCACTTGAAGTGTACCCTTGAGAATAATGAACTTACTTTCAAATTGGTCTTGCTTTTGTGGTGTATGTGGCTTTTTAGCAAATCTGCCACGCTCATTTCTTTCCAGAACCATCTTGTTCACATGTAACACTAGGCTATACGCGCATGTATAGACAGATGACATAGATATACATATAAATTATATATTGCACCTGTACTTACTTACATGGGAATATTCCCTTTGGAAAAATGCAAATGCATGAACATATATTTTCATCTTATATATGACTTCAAGCTAACATATTATTTCATATTTATATTTTCATAGTTAGTCTAACATAAATAATAGATCCATGAGAACAATATTCATTGTTTTCTTAAAAATTGATGGGTTTACTGTGAATTCAATAAATTACAATTTGCAAGGGGTAAGTATACTGTATGACCTTAGTTGCAAAGTACTGTTTATATATGCAGCTCAATAGCATAAAATATGTTGAATGAAGCATATGGTATGGATTAGTCGTGTGACACACAAACTGACCAATACATGAGGGTATTAGCTACTTTTCACAGAAACCAAAGGAGGACAGTGCTTTTATTTCAATTGGGAGCTTACCTCCACACGACTGATCATGTGACCATGGTGTTGGGTCCCTTTAACAACTTCAGATAGAATAGAATCCATTGAAATGATCTTGATGAAGAAAGCATCAGCTAAAATCTTTATTTTTAAACCATTCCTAGACATTTGGAAACAAAATTGCAAAAAAATTGAAATGTTGAAATTTGTCAGATAGCAAATTGAAATGGCTTTGATCCCCCTCCCCCCTAACTAGATTTATTTAGTTTTCGATCCGGCATCGAACTATTGATGCCTCCCCCTAAGTACATGCACTAACCAAGGAAGTTCGACAGTGCAGATAGATCTTTTAATGAAATTTCCTTGATTTCACAAGGAGTGTGTCGACCAATTCCATGTCCCCATGTGGATTTTTTGACCATTCGACCAACATACCAAACCACAAAGGATGGTACCGAGATTAATTGCTTTATGGCTTTTGTTTTATCTATGTACCAGCGCCATGATGCTATGGCCCTAAAATTAAAAGGTGGTGCTTTAGTACAGAAGAATATGAATCAGCATGCCATTATAGAGGCACTTCAATGTGAATTGTCTGTTAAACAGGATTTATTTTGGAAAAATGACCTGGTTTTGTCTTTTTTATAAAGTGATTTCTGTCTTATACATGTATTCACGGGTTGGGATCCATCGTTTTCAATAGCTTTTGGTCCTAGCATTATTAAACTTCAAACAGAAGTAAAGGTTACCTGGGAATTAAATACACATTGCAGGGAGTAGGTAATTGTCTTATGTATAATAAAACATATGAGTTAAAAAATAAATGTTGATGTTTTATGAAAAATAGCATGCTCCATCATAGGGGACAAATTTTTCGATCCCAACCTATGATACTGCCTCTTTAAAAAAAAGTTCCATGTGTTAATAAGCTAGCTAAAGCAGGGTCATTTCCATTCTGAAAATTAAGTAAAATGATGTGTATTAATATTATTACATGTCTCCTGATGAATTAATGCCTCATATTACAGCATGCACTAAAGATACGATGAACTGAAATTTAATGAAGTAAGGTAGTGTTTTGGGGGTGATTTAGTAGATGTGGGATTAGTGTCGCCATCTATGCATCAGTCAGTCACCTAACTGCCCAGCCAAAGCATCCAGGTCACCACGGACTATACTCCTTCTTTCCTCCACGGAGTGTCGTCCCATCCCATGACCCCAAAGCTCTAGTCGAATCACCAATCGGAAAATCCGGGTGAATATCCACAAATATAAGCCCTTATAAGGCAAAATGTCCTCTAACACTGTTAAATCATCACCAAATGTTTCCGCACACATACCCCTAAGCAAAACACAGATGGCAAGATTTAGTTCAATAGCACATTATAATTTTATTTTAGTCTGGGTTTGATGCTGTTTCAAGGGAATTCCACAAAAGTTTCAACAAACTAGTGTGTGGGGATGTTCAAGCCATATATATAAACACTATACAGTATACGTAGTACTACATTATTGACAAGCAAAGGAACTATTATGAGGTTTGGAAATCAAGGAGAATTGGCTCCCAGGACCGAAATTCGATATTTTTCAACAATGAAAACATCAAAAAGTCGTTTTTTCTGAAATTATAACTGACTATAAATTCAAAATAAACAGTCCAAAAGATTTGAACCAATATCTTGATCAATTCTTGTGAGTTTTAGAATTTTTCGTTTGGTAATAAGACCAAAATTCACGATTCAAATGTTGAAGTGAACAAATGGCGACTGTTTGAATTCGAATTTTGTAATCACGACATACCCATATATGGCAAAATATTGATGTAGCACTCTGGGAAGCAATCCTCCTTGTTTGGGAATATACGCCTGCATAACAATTAACGATACAAGAATATTATAGACATGTACCTTGTTAGATAACACTTTACTGTTAGATTTTATATTTTAAGCAAAAGGTGTAACATTGGGAAAACATTGAACAATATACTATAATAAAAATGTGATACATTAAAATTCTAATATCTTAGTCATAATATAGTAAGAAACAACTACCAGTAAAGGTTTTCCTCAGTCATTTTTTGGAATGCCCTCGCGATTCCCTTCTCTGATTCTGTTAAGTGAGAGTTGAGATCGATATCCAGTTTCTTATTCAAGTAGTCAATACAGAACTGTGAATCTGCGACAGACTCCCCATTGTACATTATCCAAGGGGTCTTTCCCTTTTTTGACATCTTGTTTGAGAGATCATTCTGAAAAGTAAAACAATTAATTATGTTAGAAATACAAAGAAATAAAGGGTTAACAAGAATACCTGTTTTTAACTTCATGTACTTGAAATAAGCTGGTGGTGGCTAGTGCTTGCAAGATACCCCATAGGACAAAAGTAGAGAGAACATAGATGATTCCCAATGTAAAGATGAATATCTAGAGATTCATCTCTATATAAAGATAGGTTTGCCTATGGGCTTTCTCTAATTGAATAGGTTTGTTTTTGAATCTTTGCAAACAGAAGCAAAAAATAATAAGCAAACATTTCTTTGATACATATACCTCTCATTGAAGCAAAGTAGGTATGCACCCACACTGCTTGAGATTTTGGAAATAACCTTGCATCTTCTTGACAACTTAAAAAGTCATGAAATATAAAATGTTATATAGCCCACTTCAGAAATAAACCTGGGGAGACCACTGTTTTGTTTATGTTTTTTCTTTGGCAACTAATGCTTTCCCAACATTTTTAATTACCTTGCACTTAATGCTCTGTAATATAAGTAGACAATAATATTAACAGTGGTCAGAAATTAGGTCAATTTTGGTGTTCTCATATAAGTTGAGAAGACTGTGGTCATAATGTGGTCAAATGTGGTCATATGTGTTCCAATTTATATCTTTATATATCAAATGTCAGAGACACCAGAAAGCAGTAGAGATAAACATTGGTTTTGGGTAGCCTTGTAAATTACCCAAATGCGAGTAGGTAGTTACCAGTTTCACCACCAGGTGGCTGATTCGGGTCAATTAACATGGCAGGTATACAAGAAAGTTCCCTTAAACTTGAATATTATCAACTTAAGTGGCTCAATTTTCATATAACCCTTATGCGTCTGATACTTATACTAATGAAAATATGTCCAGTAAAGCAATATATTATCTGTCCACTAAAAGAAAAGATATTTCATTTTTAGTGATTTTATAGCATGGGGTCTATGGGGAATCTCCCCGAGCTAGAAGTCACATTTTCAAAGAAAATTAATTTTTCAAAGTTGATTAACAGTTTTTAAAACCACATTTCTAGATGTAATTTTAGATGTAGATTTCAAATATGATATTACTTTGATAGTGCTGTCCCCAGCTCTGATTTCGGTGATCGGCTAGTATAAAAGGTTTGAGGGTATCATTTTGTTTCAGACACTCGCTAGAGTAAATTATCTTAACTTGAGTAAAAATGTGTGGTAAGTAAATTCGCTATGGGCAGTTAAAGAGGCGCCATCTATTCATTTTCAAACAGGGGGTAGGGGTATAAAATAATTTTTAACACATTTTAATAGTAAAATGACATTGAAATACTAATAAAATCTTATCAAAAACATTATTTACAATCAGTATGAATTTTCTTGTGTGGATTAGGGTGAAAATAAGGGCATATCTTGAAATTCACTACAGGGGCGCCACCTATTTTCGTACTTCTACCACGTGTAATAACTTATTTTAGATTTGTTAAGGTAAGAAATGTACTGAAAAAAATCATTCTAAAGGATCTATATATGTAGATACCACATACTTAAAATTGGATCAATAGCTTATTTACCGGGGGAGAAAAAAATTATTGAAATTTAAAATTGTGGCATCATGCAGGATAGGGGTGACCATATCTCACATGATTAACTTCCAAAATATGGAGCATATGTATCTCAAATGTGGTCAAAATGGTGTATGTACTCTTGCTTTGTCATAATATTACTAATAAGAAGTAGAAAAATGATTGTACAATTTCCCAAAATATTAATTCTCATTTTGGCTTCTGACGTCCCAGGGGTGACCATATCTCACCTTGATAACTTCCAAAATATGGAGCATATGTATCTCAAATGTGCTCAAAATGGTGTATGCACTCTTGCTTTGTCATAATATTACTAATAAGAAGTAAAAAAAATGATTGTACATTTTAAAATATATTAATTCTCATTTTGGCTTCTGACGTTCCAGGGGTGACCATATCCCACCTTAATAACTTCCAAAATATGGAGCATTTGTATCTCAAATATGCACAAAATGGTGTATATAGTCTTGTCTTGTCATAATATTACTAATAAGATGTAGGAAAATGATTGTACATTTTAAAAAATATTAATTCTCATTTTGGCTTCTGACGTTCCAGGGGTGACCATATCCCACCTTAATAACTTCCAAAATATGGAGCATTTGTATCTCAAATATGCACAAAATGGTGTATATAGTCTTGTCTTGTCATAATATTACTAATAAGATGTAGGAAAATGATTGCTCATTTTTAAAAATATTAATTCTCATTTTGGCTTCTGACGTCCCAGGGGTGACCATATCTCACCTTAATAACTTCCAAATTATGGAGCATATGTATCTCAAATGTACTCAAAATGGTGTATATACTCTTGCTTTGTCATAATATTATACTAATAAGAAGTAGGAAAATGATTTAATTTAAAAATTTAATTTCAAAAATTTTAATTTTAGCTTCTGATGTCCCTGAATAACTTCTAAAATTATGTAACATATACAACTCAAATATACCAAAAATGGGGCATATAGTCTTGCTTTGTCAAAATGCTATTCATGAGATGTAAAAAAATTATTACACCTTTTTTTAATTGAAATTTTCATTTTAGCTTCTGAATCTGACATCCCAGGGGCAATTATATCTCACTTTGATATAACTCTCACGATATGCAACATATGCATCTCAAATGCGTGCCCAAAATGGTATAAATATAGTCTTGTTTTGTCATATTTATTGGATTTATGAAATCAGAAGTTCAGAATTTATGGATTTGACTGTCTCCCCTGAAGGGTGCAGCTACATATAGCCCAGAGACAATAAGATCTACTTTCAAATATTTGCATCTTCTCCCCAAACACTCCTTATATTACAGGAACAATGGACGATAAGTCTTTTGCATGCCTTGGATGCAACATCTTTTGTATACTGGTAGCCTATCAGTAGTGTGAGTAGCCTAGCCTCATTTACAAAAATTGGCCCCTTAACCCCAAATCTGACCCGAAATTTTGAAAACATCCTGAAAAATTAGGCCTAAAAGGCGCATTTATGCCCAAACATACACCAAACTGTCCCACTGCTAAATTACAAGGGCGATAAGTCACTTCTAATCCTGATTGACCTTCTCAATGCATGGTTTGTCATGTTGTGCTATATTGTTATTGCCCATTCTCAACAATTGTATTCACTGTATGGCCTACCGTGCCAAGAATAATGCAATTGTTCCAAAAGCTAAGCTCTTCTTTGGGACCCTAGAAGTGTGGGACATCACAATCATAGATTAAAATTTCATTACAATCAATGTATGTTGTATGACAAACATGCAAACTAGAGAATGTTAATGTGGCTAGAAAGATTTATCATTACAAAGAGCTCATTTTCCCATATTTTACATACTCAAAATCCCTTAATTCAGTGTATAATCCAAGGTGCATATATTGCAGGCCACAGGATAACATATTAACAGCTTACATTAGCAGTTGCCATTACTTCATAAATGGAGTAAAATACTCCCACTATTGACAGGCTAAAAGGATTCCTGTATGGATTACAAAAGATGTTGGGTCCAATGTATGCAAGGGAATAATCTCATCCATTGTACTTGTAAAGGGTGTTTGGGGAGCAGATGCAAATATTTGAAAGCAGATATTATTTGCCCTGAATTATATGTAGCTGTAGAGGAGACAGTCAAAATCCATTGATTCTGATCTGTTGATTTCATGATTCTCAATAAATATGACAAAACAAGACCATTTTGAGCACACATTTGAGATGCATATGTTGCATATCGTGAGAGTTATCAAGGTGAGATAGCCCCTGAGACACCAGAGGCTAAAATTAAAATTTAAAAAAAATGCAATCATTTTTCTACATTTCTTTAGTAATATGAAAAAGACAGGACTTTTCTGAGAATATTTGAGGATTATATGTTACGTATCTTAGAAGATATTATTATATGATGCGATATGATTACCCTGGAACGTAAGAAGCTAAAATTAAAATTTTTGAAATGTATAATCACTTTTCTACTTCTTATTAGTAATAGTATGACAAAGCAAGAGTGCATACACCTTTTTGAGTACATTTGAGATAGATAATGCTCCATATTTTGGAAGTTATTAATGTGAGATATGGTCGACCCTGGGATGTCAGAAGCCAAAATGAGAATCAATATTATTTTAAATGTACAATTTTTTTTTTTTTACTTCTTATTAGTAATATTATGACAAAGCAAGAGTACATTCACCATTTTGAGCACATGTGAGATATATGCTCCATATTTTGGAAGTTATTATATTAAGGTGAGATATGGTCACCCCTGGGACGTCAGAAGCCAAAATAAGAATTAATATTATTTTAAATGTACAATCATTTTTTTTACTTCTTATTAGTAATATTATGACAAAGCAAGAGTACATACACCATTTTGAGCACATTTGAGATACATATGCTCCATATTTTGGAAGTTATCAAGGTGAGATATGGTCACCCCTAGGACGTCAGAAGCCAAAATGAGAATCAATATTTTTAAAAATGTACGATCATTTTTCTACTTCTTATTAGTAATATTATGACAAATCAAGAGTACATACACCATTTTGAGTACATTTGAGATACATATGCACCATATTTTGGAAGTTATCAAGGTGAGATATGGTCACCCCTAGGACGTCAGAAGCCAGAATGAGAATCAATATTTTTTAAAATGTACAATCATTTTTCTACTTCTTATTAGTAATATTATGACAAAGCAAGAGTACATACACCATTTTGAGTACATTTGAGATACATATGCTCCATATTTTGGAAGTTATTAAGGTGAGATATGGTCACCCCTGGGACGTCAGAAGCCAAAATGAGAATTAATATTTTTTAAAATGTACAATCATTTTTCTACTTCTTATTAGTAATATTATGACAAAGCAAGAGTACATACACCATTTTGAGTACATTTGAGATACATATGCTCCATATTTTGGAAGTTAATAATGTGAGATATGGTCACCCCTATCCTGCATGATGCCACAATTTTAAATTTCAATAATTTTTTTCTCCGACAGTACAAAAGCTATTCATCCAATTTTAAGTATGTGATATGAACATATATAGGTCCTTCAGAATGATTTTTTTCAGTACATTTCATACCTTAACAAATCTAAAATAAGTTATTACACGTGGTAGAAGTATGAAAATAGGTGGCGCCCCTGTAGTGAATTTCAAGATATGCCCTTATTTTCACCCTAATCCACACAAGAAAATTCATACTGATTGTAAATAATGTTTTTGATAAGATTTTATTAGTATTTCAATGTCATTTTACTATTGAAATGTGTTAAAAATTATTTTATACCCCTACCCCCTGTTTGAAAATGAATAGATGGCGCCTCTTTAACTGCCCATAGCGAATTTACTTACCACACATTTTTACTCAAGTTAGGATAATTTACTCTAGAGAGTGTCTGGAACAAAATGACACCCTCAAACCTTTTATACTAGCCGATCACCGAAATCGGAGCTGGGGACAGCATCATGACTGAATTTTGAATTTTTAATGACGTAAATCAAGATTATTTCTACTCGCATCTGGGTTATTGAAATGACACACATTAATTGGCAGACTAGGGGTATGCTCCTGTGCCAAAACATTTGATGTTTAGTAAGCAATGTTCCACAGCTGGATGACTCTAACTGCACTTAGCTTCATTCAAGATGGTTGCCAAATTTCTTTCGATTTCGATAAACCTCTGATTTCAGCTAAACTAAGTTGAATCTGGATTCCAAATGTTTTGCCATGCAAACTACGTAATAAAGCTAAAGTTGTAAACAACCACAGATAGATGCTCTAACAACCATGATTTGGGAGAATTTTAAAGAAAACAGCTTCACTTAAAATGACTCTAACTGAATTTGTCATCATCAAAATCAGTTAGAGTCATTCTAAGTGAAGCTTTTTCTTTTAAATTCTCTGATATCACGGGAGTGTGGGCATTTACCGTATTTGAGTTTTTTACAATCCTAGTTTTATTAGTTTGCATGGCGAAACTTTTGGGATCAAAATTCAGCTTAATTTAGCTGAAATGGGAGGTTTGTCGAAAACGAAAAAATTTCGGCAACCATCTTGAATGAAGCTAACAGGAGTTAGTAGTAAGGTACATTTAGTGCAGTCATTTCTTAGTTTTATACCAGGAGCAATACTTTAAAATCTTTCAAGTGAACACTCTGAAAAATTATGGATTAGGACCCCACTTTGGCACTTTTTAAAAATGTTAAGCTCATTTTCTAAAACGAGGATCTTCTTTTTCTCAAAGCTTTTTCAAAAGGAACACCACTGGGACTGGTCAGTGTTTATATTGTTCAATGGGAGATAATAAATTTGGGCCGTGAAAATGTGTGTACATTGGGAGATGTTCAGGTTGGAGGGGTGTTTGGATAGGCAGGTTTTACCGTAAACTGAGGTGAACAAAGGGGAGGCAAAATATTATTTTGGATTTTTTACTCAAAAATTGAGTCCTATTCCAAAAAATGGAACCCTATTTTTTAAAGTCATGTCCAACATTTTCTGGCTCTATATCAGCATAAATACCAACATGTTTTGTAAATGATTTCAAAATGGTATAAGGTCAACATAACATCTCAAGATGAATGTACATGTAATAATAAATAGCCTAAAACATGGTGTTTTTTACCTCATATGGTATTTTTGCCACACGCAAATAAGTCTCCAGCTTTAGGGGAAAGGGAGACAGACTGGGGGCATAGGGACCTCTGCTGAGCTGGAACAGTATCACAGTGTCCCTTGGGTAGTCAGTGCGAGTACTGAAAATATATAAATATTATGAATTAGCTCATAGTGAAATACATGATCTAGCCAAACAATGGAATGTTCATTTTGGCAGCATTAGAATGTATTATAAGGTCAATATCAGTAAGCAAAGCTTTACACAGGTTTTACACTAATCATTATTCAGAGCATCGCTATTTTCAAAATTTCATAACCAGAAAAATATGGTTTTATATGACTACATTGAAAACAAGGCATTAACATGCAAATTTCCCCACCTGCTATTTGTTACAGATGCCAAGTGCTAAAAACCAAATACCAAAAACCAACTGTCAAAACAATATGTCACCACTTGTGGTGGTGGTGACATACAAACCAATGCCTTAACCCTGCATTCATTTGCAATGCTAAATTTATACTCATACATGTTTTTTCTTGCAACTGAGTCTACAAGCCTATTATTTTGGAAAAGTATTTGAATCATCAAATTCATATTTTACACTGCATGTTTATTTTCTTTCAAACATCCCAGACATAACATAACAAGACTGTTTACCTGTTTACCAAAACCAATACATATAGTTGAAATGAGGGTCAGAAAATGACCCTATTAGTACCACAGATTGAATATACCATTGAGAAAGGAATAATGATTTTACATTACAGTGTATTAAAGAAATTTGGTGGTTACAGAGTTGACCAATTAGTGCTATCATGAGCAGTGGGCAATTTTGTCCAAAATTTTATGGACTTTTTTGAAAGTAATATAAAATAAACAAGGCATTTATATGCACTATGTCACCAATTGCCATTTGTTATTAACGCAAAATGCTGGACTCCAGATGCCAAATGCCGAAAAAGGAGGATCATAACAATGTGTCACCACTTTTGATGCTTCTAGATAACATTATTGTTAACCTACTCTGAGCTACCTGTGTAGTTTCAAGCAACTCATTATGATACTTAAGGATATTGATAAAAGATTAATTTCCAAATTCATAATTCCTTTTTTTAGATAACATGATCAGATGCTCATAGTAACGCCCCAACTCCCCTTCCTTTTTTTATCTTATAGGGCCCAAGTATTTGAAGTACCAAGAGTGTCCAATAATCAAAATTCACACATTACAAATAATTACGTTTTGTAGTTTTTAGATGTGTATCAAACATTAAATTATGTTATATTACTTTGAAATCTGCAGACTTAGCACATTGACCCTGATTCACAACCTGTCACCCACCACTCGATTATTGGAGCCCTTGGATGTATATACTTGTAACCAATTCACTATTAAGTAACCGGATGCTACTATTAACATAACGGTAAAATAGTTGGATACAAATCAACCTCCTTCTGGGTGAAAATGATGAAAATTTCATCCGAGGGAAGTTCATCCATTTTGTTGTAAAGACGTAACGTCAACCAGGTGGGGACCAGTGCTTTAAATCAAATCGAGCCTCGGATGAAGAGTCAATTCAATATTCCATTCCCGATAGAATATGTGCCTGAACATGCCCCTTTTTGTGATGGCCTACCTTAATCAATTTATTGACATGCAAAACTCCCCATACTCAAAGTATGACAAAAGCTATGAATCAGTTTGTATAAATGTTTTACTAATGTTTGACCAAATATTGAACAAATAAAGATTTCTTTTCATGGTTCAACTTACGTGAATGTTATTTTTTCACATGTATTCACTGAGGTCACAAAATAGTGATTTATCAAAAGAGGACGAAAATGTATTTATACAAGGCCTAAGTCATCATCAAAAAGTTTCATGTTAAAAAAAGAAATACATTTTATATTTGCATCCTCCTAATTTTTTACGTCACTTACATTATAGGGATAACGTTAATAATGCATAGCCTGGAGATTCTTTAATTCTGAGTAATTTATTAAAAGTCAAAGACCAATTCTATGCATTGTATTTTGGTAATCGACATATTTTGATGAGCAATACCAAGTGATAGTGGTAACCTTGGCTCTGCAAATGATGTTCATTTTATTGATTTGATGTTAAATTTTTTTTCTTGTAATTTATTATATCAATAATATGCAGGCATGTTTTTATAACAGAAATACTATCTTACCTTGAACAACATGGCATATTGAAGAATCGCTTATGACTAGTTCTATGTAACTTTGAAAAATCAATATATGCAAGAAGTTAGAGGTGAAACATTGTTAGCTCACGTGGGTGAACTGCTATTGTTATTTTTTATTATACTGTCCTGTTGACACACAACCCAGGATTGGTTTGATTTAAAAAAAATTCTGTCTGTTATAAAATCTGCAATAAAGGGGCTCCCAAGGCAGGGCTCTCGCAAGGTATTTAGACTGTGGCGCAGCACCACACTCTATTTAGCTCCCTCCACACCCTATTGTCAAATCATGACTGTTTCCACAGTCTAAACTTGACTAAATATATAATAATAGCATGTAATGAAGGACCCACGGTCCTGTGCTCACACAGTTTGGAACCTTCAGAGGAACATATATCCTGAATTTCAAACAAAAATATTGATTTGGATTAAAGGTCAAATCCCAAAACTAATGTCAGATTTGAACTCCTGGCAACTTGTAGATGATTTCAAAAAAAATTTGGTCAAATTGAAGCAAGTTGAAAAATAACTTATTTTTACTGTTTTTTGACGTCAAATATCTCAAAAACTGTAAAAATTTGATGCTGACATACTATATTGAGCAATAGGGAATGCTTAAATCTAGTAATGATGTAATTCATTGCAAGAAATGATCAAGTATAAGGCAAACTTTGAGAAACTTGTCAATCACAAAACCTGCCATTGACTTTATACATGAGAAAGTTTCCTGAAAATCCTACTTTTTGTCAAATTTTATATACACCAAAAACTGTAATTCTCAGAGCTTTGAAATCTTCAGAGGACATAAGTTGCATATACAGCAACTACTAAAAGTTATTTGAAAGTTCTACTTCAACAAAGTGTCTAGTATTTACAGAAAATTTGACTTTTTGATGTCAAAATCTGCAATTTCTCGGAAACCGGGCGAACTTGGAAAATGGCGATGATAGGTCAAATAGGCATTATGGATATGCATAAAATGAATGTGGATATGACTCAATCCGAATAGCAGTTTTAATTTGTGCGGCCAATGTTGACGGACGGACCGACGGACCATCCGGACGGATGGACCAACGGACGGACGGACGCCTGGTCGATCCCATAGGCTCACTGTGTGAGACAAAAAGGATAAAACATAACATAAATATGATTTATCATGATTGAATGGTTATTCTGAAGATGTTAGCATCACGCCCTAAATATTTCCTGGTAAGAGCCCTGCGAGGGGTATGTGACAAGGTTACGTGACCTAAAAAAATGTGACTAAATGTGACTTTGGGGTACTAAAAATGGATGAATATGACAAATAAATGCCTGCAAGTAACAATTTTGAACATTGACCGGACTGATAAGGGTTGCAAAAGTGACAAAAATAGACAATTCGCTCTGAATGTAAATGGATGCAAGTAAAAGTGACTTATTCTAATAATCAGTTACCCAGTTTGTATGTTTTGACTGACTAAAAAGGAATGAATCTGACATAATATGACAAGTAAACTTTAAATGTGACTAATGACAATTTTGGAATTCTAAAAGTGACTAAGCGACCTCACTACCCCTTCTTGGGAGTAATAAGGTAAGTTAACCTAAAAAGCCCATATGATACTACCTATATGAGTTTTAATTCTGAATGAATTACTATCCCCCCCTCCTTATAGCTACCTCCACCCCCTCCCCCCTATAGGACAGAGGAACAGCTACTGATTGCATGTGGTAATATGGTAATGTGTCTCAATGCTTTTTCAAATAACATAAACATGTTCTACTTTACAAACTTTTCACTTTAGAATAACATGACATTCATGAATCCATGTAAACAATTTAATTTAGAGTAAACAATTGTAAATTTTTAATAACACCTCATACAACAATTTAAGTCTCTGGAAGTTTCCCTACATCTCATCTTTAACTTAGAACCATCAGGTTACAATCAGGCCAGTATTAAAGGTGCAACAAGTTGTGGAGAGGTGCCATCCAATGATCAAAATATATTTAAGTTTGGATATTTCATAAAGACTAACATATATTTTCATTATCTCCAAAAAAAACTGAATAAACATTATTTCAGCTAATATTCCTCTTGAAACATGGTGGATCCTAGAAATACATAAGTGGGACTCCCTTTATAGAAGCTTTGGACTGAATTTACATTCCTCAATGCTGAAATTGATAGTTTATCCATAAATTTTAAGAAAATAGGTATGATGTATGTCAAAGAAGATTTTAAGCCAAATGTTGCCTTGATAGCTCAGAAAAAACAAAAAAAAAATCCAATTTTCTCTCTACAGGCCTTGTTGCCCCTTTATACATTTTACCACAAAATTAAATGTTGGAAGTCACTTATTGTACAATTAATCTGAAAAAGTTCCGCCATTTTTAAAGTGGCAGCCATCTTGAAAACTTTTTTTTAGCGTAAAACTAATTACCTTATACATACATGTATTTCCACAAACTATGAAGAAAATCTGTATACGATATATAATATCCGAGTTGTCTTCCGGACAGACTGACTGACTGATAGACAGAGGGCTTCACTATTCCCTACAAAACTTTGTCTGGATAATTAGATATGCACACAGCTAAGCCCTTTAAGGAATCAAATATGTCAGGCCAGTCAAACAATTTTCCCAAAGGGGAATGCGATTTCACATTTCAGGTCCATTATGATAGCTTAAATTCCATTTTTCTCTGAATTAGACAATATGAAGTAAGCACAGGACAGTTAAGAACATCATTATACATGAACACTAAACAAAAAATAAAATTGCCTTCCCCGGGATGATTTCCAAGATATCTGAGGGGGTGCGACAACCTAAAGCAACCTGACACCTTATCTGCATCTGACAGGCATGGCCCTAGGCCATGCATATGCATTGCAATACCAGAAAAACAAATACATGTAAGTATAGAAATTAAAACTTGTATCAGCGGATAACTGCTTCTGGAAAAGGTGCAGTCGAAACATCCCCTTTTTGGAGAAAACATTTTCAGAAGATCTTCTAATTGAGCTAATACAACTTTTCCCTTAGCCTATGATCACAGGTTACCACTGTTCTTCCGGGTTTACTCTACCGAGCTGACAACAAAAATCTGAGAGAACCAGGTGTGTTCAGTAATTCCGGGTAGCTACAGTTGGGGACATAAATAAATGACAGGTGGATTTGCTGAAGTGAGGATTTCCCATGTTAAAAATAAGAGAATTTGCAAGAGGCCATAAATCAGTGGATGAGATTATACAAAATGTAAAATATACAAATTTTAAGGGATATGTATCTAGACAATATTGGAAATTATGGGCTTTCAGACCACCATAATTAGGAAATGGTGATCGAAGATCGACCTGTCATTTATTTTTGTCCCCAACTGTACTGAAGATATCAGCTGATACAATTTTAAGCTTCCTAAATAGAAATAAAATATCAAACCTGCTCTTGTGGAAGATAACATTCAACAATTTTTGTGAGATGCCTGTGTCCAGGAAAAGCATATCGACTACAATGCCACATATTAGTGCTAGAATTGTGCACAGTATGTAAAAAAGCATTTTTCATCCGAAATCTCCACAGCTCCTTCTTGCAAAACTCTCTAATTCTGAAATGTATAGATGTCACTTTTAGGTTGATGAATTCATACGCGTGTCCTCTGCACTAATAAAGTTCCATCTAAAAAACAGATTATAAATGAAATTTTGTCTTAAACAATACATTGATCATTTAGTTCTTCAGAGCAATGTATAAACTAACAATTGATATTATCGTATCGTTGTAACTCGTGTAGTTTGAAAATATTTGAATTTCCCGCTCAATCCAATTAGTGTAATTGGTCACGTGAGATCAAATCTAGGTCATTACCCACAATTCCTGTAAGTGATTCCGGTTTATCAAAACAGTAGCACACTCGAGGAAAATCGATTATAACTCATGTTTTAGAGTGTTGAAACGCCACAGCGATTGTAGTTACACATACCAGGTATTTATGTTTTTATTATTTATTTTATTCCTTCAGTTGAAACACGCTACTTTTCATATGAAGACTACATTTGACGAAACAATGTGAACAAAGTTTTTATTTTTCTGTGTTTTTATTCATTCAATTCAACACATCTTTCAAGTTTTCGGACTTGTGACATTGTCTCACAGATAGTGGGAAGTTCTACTATAAGCTGGCTGTATACACCGTGTAATGAACATAAATTCACATTCAATTTTTCATGACTATTGTGCATGTGTCTCGCAATCTGATTGGTTCATTCCCAAAAATAAGGCGAGCGCATCCAGTTTTACGAATTTTGCAATGGTCTTACATCCGCTTTATATGGGCTTATTAGCCTTTTGCAAATTAATGACATAGACATCTGCAGTATTACCTTAGACATTATCCTATTTAGTCTGAATTATATTCAGACTATAAGGCACTTACCTTCTTCTAAGGCCACTGTATCGTGGCCTTCCAGTACAGATATATTCCCGCATGAACAACTGGTCATGTCGTAATCATAAAATTTGAAATCATATGTCCGCCATTTTTCCACATCACAATTTGAATTGCGAGTTTTGGTCTTATTACTTCACCAAAAATTCCGAAACACATAAAGTGATCAGTGTATTAGTTCACATCTTCTGGATCGCTAACTTAGAATTTACAGCCAGTTACTAATGTCAGACGTTAACGACATTTCGTCCAGTTTTCGAACATCGCCATTTTCTTGGAGCCATTTTGTTTTAATTTTAGATGAAATCATGTCATATCTCATCAAGGAGCCGAGCTGGGTCCGGTTTGGTTAATGATTTATTTTTCTGGCGATTTTTAAAATATTCATTAAAGGACGATTCTCGGTTTGGAGAACAGCCTCCTGGGCTAAAAAAATTTTCATGAAAAATATAGAAATATTACCCAAATTAAACTATGAATATTCAAAAGAGGACAATTAAATCCACAAGATGTAAAAATAACAAATTGGTCCGAAGCAGGGATAATGCTCAAATAGACCAATTCAAAAAAATACAACTCTCGATTTGGGGAAAGAAGTTCATCAGTGTACTGCGCTAATATTTTTTTGCGAAAAATCTAGAAATATTACCCAAATTAAATTATGACTATTCAAAAGAAGACATTCAAATCTGTATTATGTAAAAAAATCAAATTTTTCCAAAGCAGGGATAATGCTCATTTAGATTGATGAACTTCGTTCTCCAAACCGAGAATCGTCCTTTATGACACCCCGGCCAGCTTTTTTCAAATAGAGTTCACAGTATTCCAGATGAAAACCCCTCTAGCCAAGTATTGGCTAGAGACTCGAGTAATAAGGCACCTATGTTAAAGTTTGGTAATGTGAAATATTTGTTTACATTGGAAGTGCTATTCAAAAAGGCCGATTGGTAAAATTAATTTGCACATTTGTTACTTCAACTAGCTGTATTTCCACTTGACAATATGCTTTTTCCACAGGAAAGTAGTACATCATAACAGACTGACTTCTAGTCAGTCTGTTGGATACATACTAAGTATTACCTGGCCATAATGGCAAGATTAAGGTATGAGTTATTTTTTCGAGATCTACTCTGCCATAAGGTGCGGGAGATCTTGTACTCTGGTTCTCATTTGCACCTGTACTAATTCGCTTCTTTTCCTCTTTCTATGTTTATTTAAATCAATCAATTAAATTTTCAGAGTTTAATTTCAAATTTAAACATTATTATTTTATGAAAAAACCTGTGTCATTATACCACATCACGTCAAATGAAGCCAAAGTTAGCTAATATTATACAGTCGTAAATTTTAAAAAGTGCGATAAACATTCCAAATCATGACATTCATGTAAAAATCTCCGTAATGAATTCTTGGAATAATATATGATGTGATCATCTGTGATGTCAGATATAGAAAATCATTATAAAGATATGTAATATTTTTTTGAAAAATATTAATATTTTTTCTTGAATTACTTTTGTGACCTCTTGATCCTTACATTGTCTCAACCAACTGCTTTTCAAGCAAATTGTAAATGTTTAATGGTTGGTTAGACATATATCACTATAACTGACCGACCATCCATGTCTGATAGGTAAGATATGCACCAAACTAAAATTCAAAATTGGTCTGATCAATGTACTTCATTTACTCAAGATTGTACTCATCATCACATCATAATTCTTGAAAACTGACACAATTTCAAAAATGGCTCTTGTCTTGTTTCATATCTGCAAACAAGGATAAATTACGTAGCATTATTTATCACATACTTTAAAAAATGTTTTCTTATTAGTCAAATGAATTGTTCTTAGTGACCTTTTGAAAAAAGTATTTCGTCCATATTTTTGATTAGTTGAAGCATATTATAAACCAGGAATTCTAACAAGAGCCCTTCATTACTGTCCACTATAATATTAAATAAATAAATAGAATAAAGTGTGAAATTATACTGGAAATTTCCGGTGAAACAAATTGTAACGTTTTTAGACTTCAAATTAAAGTGAAGGCTACCCACAAATGATAAACCCATTGTATTGGGGTAGGTAGTTTTCTCTGGTGTAACGCAATATTGAGTTAAAAAATAATTTGTGAAGTTTTCTTAGTGTTTTTGTTAATATGAGAAATAGCATGCTCCCCATGCAAGACAAATCTTTCTATGACAACCAGCAGAATTTTAAGATCCAAATTAATTCCTTTGTGGATCCATATTTAGTACTTTCATGGGCTTTACATTATTTGGCTATTCTCATTTTTGTACAAGTTAAATAGAAATAACACTTATCCTCTACATGTTTACAAATACTATACAATTTGTATGTCATCCATTCTCAATCGCTGATCGATGAGAACTTCCCAATCTACTTGAGCTCATCCAAACTTTTCGTTGTCTAGTTTCAAAAACAATTCTCATAAGGTCTTTTTTAGATAATTTGTACATTCCCATCTGGATATTGAGTGTTCAAATCATTTTTATGGCACCATCTAGAAGTTGTGACATTGTTATAGTCTCCACCTTTTTTGTGGATAGTGTTTGGTGATTTTTCTACAAATATTTTTTTTCAATTTCTCTTGAACTAGATTAAGATTAGATATTTAGTATCCAGATTTTGATTATTCCAATAATGATGTTTATTATTTCCTTGCCGTGATACTCATTCTCTCATTGGTCAATTAGATACCATGTGACTAAAAATATATAGAGGTATTCCATGTCTCCCTGCTTAGAAAATGTGTGAAGAGTGTATTCACCGGCAGTGACGTCATTTTTAGTGAATACCACTATTTATTGAAATTAAAATGATGTCACATCACTTAATTCCCGGTAATTTAGTAAAAAGTATTTTCATCATATGATAGACGGTGAAGTTGTTTCAGGAAGTCCTCCCAAGAAAAGGTTCACAACTGTTTGACAAAAAACATGGGATGAAGATACAAATGTATTCAAAAAGTCAACAAATCAAAGCACGAAGACTATGGACTTCAACATGAAAGTTCCGAATCTAATTTTCATCCATGGTGTGACTGAGATCGTGAATTATAAAAGAATATTCGCAAACGTTTGGAAATACGTTGAAACTAGACGTCATATCATAACAATTATGTGCCTGCTTCTAACTTTAATATTGTGTACTACTTTAATGAGGAAATAATAAAACAAATATTGAATTCTATGATCGTTTAATATCTGTATATATTTCTGAGGGATGTATTCACCACACCCTTCGGGCTGCGGTGAATACACCTTCAAAAATATATACAGATATTCAACTCCACAGAATTCAATATTTGTATAATGTGTTAATTATACTAACTGAATATATACTTTAATATTGAATATACCAGGCACATCCCAAATATATATTTTTTCAAGACTAGCTTTTTCTTTTTGCAATTTACGTCGTATCATCCATCATTATACAACATATATGCAAACTCTGTAACTCTGTCTGTAAATAACCTCTATTGACAAATCCCCACTTTATATTATTATATTGTTTGTACAGGTTACCAGGGATATCAATTAATATTTTATCACTGAAGGTTTTTTCTTGTGTCACCTTCTCGAGCTACCATTATGAATGAAATATTATAATTGATATCTAATACTGCTGAACGTTGGTATATAACTCTTGGTATTACAAGTATGCTATATTCTGAAAGATCAGTAGAGTTTTCATTATTTTGTCATGGAGTATAATTTGAAAGTATATTATATTTGAAGGATATTTTATTCAAAAGATATTATATATTCAGATCTCCAAAATACATTCACTTGTTTCTTGATGTGAACATGGCCATAGCCAGGCTGCCCCACCAACATTTAATGGAAGAAGAATTTTAATGTTTTGTTTTCAGTTGACACTGTTGAAATGAATTCCAATGATCGTTTCATCTCCCTTTAACTAAAATTTATCTCTTCTAATTTTCTACCTGGCCATTTCCTAGGTAAATATAGTTCCAAACAGAATGTGACTTAATATGAGAAAAACCATGACCTGATCTGAGTTTAAACAATAAGCATTACAATAACAATATTACAGATCATAAATCATTATTAATGAGGAACAATGGAAACATAAAACGCAAAAATCCTGATCCAGCCTGAAGTTTAGCAATTTAAGTAAAGGCATACGCAACAATAGAATTATAGATTATATAATCACTAATTAAACATGGGTTGGTAATAACAAAAGCCAACTTAGGTCGGCCTTTTCGTGACTTTTGATTAATAAACATTAATTTCCGTTTGTTCCAGTGTAGAGTAGCGAATCATTGAGACGAGTTGATTTATTAATAAGCTGGATCTCGGATCACTGAGGGTGCCAGTCCAGCCGATGCCAAGCCCTATGATGATGGTGGAAAATAGGGAACAGCAGGGACCACCCGGACCAAATATGTAAGTACTGAACACCACACTAGATATATTCTGAATATGTTGAGATACATACAAAACAAAAACATGAAATATGATGTAATTTAAAAGTAGTTTTAAAGAGAGGCTGCACTTGGGAATACTCATTTGCTTAAACGTAAATAAACGTTCTAAGTAAAATGCTGGTTCTTGAATGTTTATGTTTTTCTATGTGGGCTTTTAGACAGTCTCTTAAGATAAATGCATGTTTCAGTTAATAGCCCGAGTTAGGTAAATATTGGTAAATATGAAAAAGACTGATTACTGTAAAGATAAAATTAAGTGTTTATGTATGAAGACGAAGAAATAAAGCATTAGTTTGCAAAGGGCCAGTATGGATATGGATTTTTGTGGACCATGAACAAATTATCAAGGAATAAGGATTTATTTTGTTGAATCGCCAAAGAACGATTCTCTGATGTCGTATGGCCCATCTGTGACAATATGAGAAATATCAAGAATTAGATAAACAGGCATTGTGTTTATGAACTTGGATATATGCAAGAATTGACAGCACTGGTTCTACAGTACTGACCAGTTCAGTGCACATCTACAAAAATGGCCCAGTTTGAGGAAACTCCCTATCACCATCCTCTGTCCAGGGGAATTTCAATTTATTCAATGAGCTGGGACAGTGATGCCCGATCTTGAAGGATGCCCTTAAGTAGGACAACTACCTAATGACCATGTTTTTGTACATATATGTACACTGTATTTGTAAGACTATCACGAACCAGTAACTCAATTACTCAGATGCGAGTAGGTCTTTACCAGTTTCGCCACCAGGTGGCTGATTCGGGGGAAATAACATGACAGGGTATTACAAAATTCCGTTAAACTTGAATATTCATCAGTTTTAGTGGTTCACTTTTCATATTACCCTTATGTATCTGATAGTTGTACACATTAAAATATGTCCAGTAAAAGAAAATATTAGCTGCCCAACACAAGAAAAGATATTTCAAGATATTTTGTAATTTTACAATATGGGGTCTATGGGGAATCTCTTGACCTAGAAGTCACATTTTCAAAGAAAACTAAATTTTGAAAGTTTACATGTAGATTCCAAAAATGACATCAGTTTAACTGAATTTTTAATTTTTAATGACGTAAATCAAGATTATTTCTGCTCGCATCTATGATATTGAATTCTGCTTTTATTAATGTACTATAATACTCCTACTATTATAACAGAAAGTGGAGGGAATGGTCTAGCTACAAGACCCTGTGACCCCCCCCCCCCTGCCTCTCACTAGATGACTTCACAGGTAGGAAAACTTCTCACACAGGGGAGGTATGTAGTAGTGGAGGGGGCACAATGGCTTGTAGCTAGACTATGGAGGAAACTGTATTGAAATAACAGAGTAATTTTGAGATATTTTGAAGAAACTGGGAGTGTTCATATTACAGAGAGTAATAAGTGCACACTCCATTCTAGCATTTATGTATATTGATTGTTATATGCAGACTCTCTTAAACGTCATTAAAGCACTTAACTATTATTGTGGTATTTGATTCTGCACAAAGTATTCTTTATTTGTCTGAACGAGACATACTTTATATTTCTGTAATTACTGCAATTTGGCTTCTACACGTATATTGAATGAATTGCAAACTTCACTAAAGGGTTAACACCTTCAAAATGATTACATTTGAAAGAAATCAAATCATTCTGTTGTTCAGTAGCTGGTATAAAAAAGATGTCTGTCTACTCTAGATATACCTTCTTGGTATTTTAATAAGATGAGTCAAGCTTGTTGGGTAATAATTATGTCACAACCAAAAAGTGGAAGCATATTGTTGCGGTCTCTGTTTTTGCGACGGCGGTTGGCAATCGGCAGTTGGCGTCTGTAACAAATGGTGGTGACATTTTGCATGTTATTGCCTAATGTATAATATACTATAATTTCCAAAATTAGTGCCTAGTCCCTAAAAAGTGCCTACGATAAAAAGGAAAGAATGACCAAAGCTTGAAGAAATTGTCTGAAAAAGATCAACCTTTCAAAATATCAAAAAAAACAAGGTTGATAATTACTAAGTACTTATACCTTTGTATAGTGGCCAATGGTCATCAATTATTTTTCTGTGTTATTTTCCCAAGATAAATTTCCCTGGCCAATATTACTGACCATGTGACAATATACGTGGAAAATGTAATAAGTTCATGATTTACCTAGATAATGAAATCATGAACATTTGCTACTTATGCTGATTTTGATGTCAAATAGTGATGTCTTGATAAATATGGTATAAAGAAAATCATATAGTGATATAATATCAGATCTATTAATCTCAAAATTCAGAATTTTTGCTCAAAATTATATATAACTTATATCATAAGCACAAAATATGATATCAACTGGTTACTGGTATCACAAGCATGTGCATGGAAAACCATAACATTCAAAAATCTCAATAACCACTATGCATTTATTTCCCTTATATTGGCTAATATAAGCCACATGATACGTCTACCAATTCATTTAAAAGACTATGAGACAGCAAACTATAATCAATTTTAACTTAATATAGTCTTTAACTAACTATCAACTTTGATTAGATAAATATAAATTGAACCAAGGCACTTTCCAAGAAACAGTACGCTCTTCATAGCTATTATAAATGGCTGTAAAAATCATAGAGTTGCTATGACAACGTTGATATTGCCACTGTACAATCACCATGCTTCATTTGTTTCTTTATTGAGACTGTCAGTTTGATTTAGATAAATATAATTGCTCCTTAAATATTTAACTATCCTTCCAACACTTCCTTTTTATACCATCATCCTGATATGACGGAAGTGTGCCATGAGTATGGAGCCTTGCATATTAGGGTCTGAAAGAGAGAAATATACAGATTTGTTTCTAATAAGATCTCCAATGCCCTCAAAAGTTCCCGTATGCAGGCCTCCTGGACTTGACTGCGATTGTCAGTGGTGTTTGGCAACTGATATTCATGTTGTGGTTCAGGTGAAAGGAATGGGGTTAGCGACGTCAACGTGGCTCCCATGTGTCAAAATCTAGGAGGCCTGAATATGGCTTTTATGAGAATTTTGATATAAAATAAATGTCGGGTACCTATGAATGTATAAGAATCAGTGAATGCTATTTTGATAGGGTAGCTAAATTTTGATAGACCATGTTCTCAGCATTCTAATTGGTTAAGACTAGATCAAAGGATGATCTCATTGTAGATGAAGCTCACTTTAAAGAATCAAAATCAAAATTGGAAGTAGCAAGTCGCAAGAATGGTATATAATACATGTACGTGGAAGAAACTGTCAAGTGGAACAGCTTTTGTGGTTGTGGTCTTAAATGTGCTTTCATCGCACCTTTTCAAAGTACTATATTGTCGTTGACTTATGCTGAAGGGCAAGTGTACATCTGGGTAGCGGGCGGGCGCCATATGAATCTTGTGATCAAAATTCCAGGAAAAACTGTAACCTGTTTAACTTGAAATTTTTACAGATAGAAGGGCAGGCTAGTGTCATGATCTGATTAGGTCTAGGGCATGCCGGTAGCTATTTTGAATTTTTCAATAACCAAAAATATTTATCACTGTCTGTCTTGGTTACATATAGGTTTGACTTCACTGTTATACAATATACATATGTACATGTTAATGGGTTGATGCTTTTTAAATTTTTCGAAATTTGCCTTTTCTGGCTCCCAAATTGTCCATCTCTGTTAAAAATGTTTTCTATAGACTCAACTGTGTCAGCTTGACACAAATTTCTGCTAGGGCAAGGCAATTTCACATTTTCTCTACTGGGTGCTATTGCTTTAATGATAAGAGGTCACATGGAATGATCACTTAATAATCTCTAGGCAACATATAATTTTATTTTTTAATAAGGTAAATCATTTTGAACAATAAACATATAAGAAACAAAATACTTGTATATATTGTGTTCACAATCACATTTTACCAAACTCCCGGGGGTTTCACTCCAGTATACTTCTTAATACCTACATGTATGTGCCTCCCCAAAGACCCCCTTTTTTAAGCAGTTTTTCCAAGTCAATTTCCTCTCAAGATTGAAGGTTTCCATCTTTAATTCCTCTGAGATTTAACAAATTTAATACAATTTTTTGTAGAAAGACTGAATTTTGACTTAAAAAGGTACTTTCATCGACAATTTTCCATGTTTTTTTTTCGCTCGGATTGGTCAATTTCCATGTTATATGTCCAAAGCCAAAATTGGCCGTGCTGCACATACCTACCCAAATTATTTTGAGTGAACCCCCGGAACCAAACTTTAATGTTTCTGTTATAGATTATCATTAACCTGAAGAAAACAAGAGATGATATTATAGAAACTCATCACAACCGTTCTGTAAAAGAAACTGATAGAAGGCCACAATCTCTCATGTTATAGTCCAGTCAGAATTAGGGTTTGAGCGTGCATTCGGAGGGAATTTACGGAATATCATTTTTCTCGTATTAGTATAGAATTGGAGGAACCTGCTTTGATTCATGAGTAGGAGCTGAGAAACACTAAACCCAGAGAAACTTATTTTAATCTGAACGATGCTGGTGACAGTTAAGTGGTCTCAATATACAATTTGCCATCATGTTCCTTGATTGAAGTATCTTTCTTGGCATACGTCATATCAAATAATATTCTCTAAAAATTGATGCGAGTATCTGATTTTCCTAAGGTTCTATAGGCTTTAGCTCTGTACATTTTGTTACCCATGAATTATGCCCCCTACTTTCTACTTTATATTTTAAAACATATTATTTAGGATGATATTTAATTCATAGGTCTTCAACTACTAAGTTAATTGCTGAAGAAGTGACATTTCCTATTCAAGAAATTAAAAAGTATTAGATAGACTTGAGTGGCATGGCGATGACAGTAACAGAGACATCATAAGTGTTTAGCTCTCTGCTAATGGATATTTCTGTTTGTTTTTATTTCTTCGGTTTATACCCAGGCAGGGATTGTATATGGGATTTATCCTGAGGATGATATGATT